GAAGGTACTACCGTATCCGTACTGAGAGGTAACCCAAACGTCACCACCCATAAGATTGACCAGGCGTTTAGAGATTGACAGACCGAGACCGGTACCACCGAACCTACGAGTGGTTGACCCATCGGCCTGTTGGAAGGTATCGAAAATCAAGTCCAACTTGTCCTCCTCAATACCAATACCGGTGTCGGAGACGGAAAACTTAAAGGCATATTCGTTGGTGGTGCATTGCTCACGATCGGATTTGCAGATCGTGAGCTTAACCTCACCGTGATCAGTGAACTTGATGGCATTACCGACTAAGTTGAGAATAATCTGGCGCAGACGAAATGGATCGCCAATGACATAGTCGGGGACTGTGTTGTCGACCTGGTAAGTCAGGCTAAGGAATTTCTCATTTGCCTTTATAGCCAAAGTTTTAAGCGCATTGAATACGGTACCGCGTACGGTGAATGGAATGCTCTCAATAACCATCCGGTTGGCTTCAATCTTCGAAATATCGAGTATATCGTCAATGATTGTGAGCAAACTGTTAGCCAGATTGTGCACCACGTTCAGCATTTCCCGGGTATACGGCTTCAGGTCGTCGGTATCCAGTGTGAGCTGGGTCATACCAATGATACCGTTCATGGGAGTTCGGATCTCGTGAGACATATTGGCTAGGAACTCAGATTTGGTGCGATTAGCAAGCTCGGCAGCCTCCTTGGCGGCAGTGTTTCGTTGAATACTATCTCGTAGGTTGGAAACCATCTTATTGATCTTACGCTTTAGTTCGTCCATTTCTCCCGAAGCGTTGACAGTAATAAGCTTGGTGAAATCACCATCCGTGGCGGCATCAGTAATTTCGCCAAATGCACGGACTTGGGATGTTAGGTTCTCGGCCATAGTGTTCACATCCTCTGTGATCTCCTTCCAGGTTCCTGCGATCCCTTCCACGTTGGCTTGCCCACCCATCTTTCCATCGACGCCGACATCACGAGCGACCTTCTTCAGTTCAGTAGCGAACTTGGCCAAACGACCCACCATGTGATTGATAGTCACTTTGAGGGTCAGCATCTCTCCTTGCGCGTGTACCTCGATCTTCTTGCTAAGATCACCCTTGGCAATAGCTTGCGTCACGTCCGAGATACTTCGCACTTGCGACGTTAAATTTTGCGCCATGGTGTTGACGTTATTGGTAAGATCCTTCCATTTTCCTTCCACATTGTCTACCTTAGCTTGACCTCCTAGGGTACCATCGGTACCGACCTCACGCGCGACCTTGCTAACCTCGAAAGCAAACGTGTTGAGACGGTCCACCATGCCGTTGATGGTACTCTTTAGATCAAGCATCTCGCCCTGTACGTTGGCAGTGACCTTCTGGGTTAAATCGCCCTTGGCGACAGCCGTGGTGACATCCGCAATCTCACGTACCTGAGTAGTCAGGTTGTTGGCCATACGGTTGACGTTCTCTGTAAGGTCTTTCCATATACCTTCCACGTCATTCACGGTGGCCTGGCCACCTAGAACACCATCGGTACCGACCTCCTTAGCGATCTTGGTAACTTCCTGCGCGAACTGGCGTAGTTGGTCCACCATAGAATTGATGATATTCTTTAGCTCGGCAATTTCTCCTCGGCAGTTAGCTTGCACCTTCTGCGTCAGGTCACCCTTAGCGACGGCTTTGGTGACAGTGGCGAGATCACGCACTTGCGTGGTTAGGTTATTGGCCATTGCGTTGACATTAACCGTAAGTTCGTTCCACATGCCCTGAACACCTTCAATTTGAGCTTGACCTCCTAGTACACCTTCCGTACCGACATCGCGCGCGACTCGGGTGACTTCCGTAGCGAATGTCCCGAGTTGATCCACCATGGTATTGATCGTCTGTTGCAGTTCCAAAATTTCACCCTGAGCGCGACTTTCGATCTTCTGACTCAGATCACCGTGGGCGACAGCAGTTGTGACAACCGCAATTTCTCGCACCTGATCTGTCAGGTTCTTGGCCATGATATTGACGTTCTCCGTGAGCTCCTTCCAGATACCGTGAACACCAGTAATTTGAGCTTGACCGCCGAGTATACCCTCCGTTCCGACCTCGCGAGCGACTCGAGACACTTCGCTACCAAAGACTTGTAGTTGGTCCATCATGGTGTTGATCGTACGTTTGAACGTAACAATTTCCGGGTCCATCTCCAAGGGGTGGATCTGGACCTTCATGGAGAGATCACCGTTGGCGACTTGCGTGATGATGCCGCCGATTTCTCGCAAGGCTTTTTGGAAGGCCTCGTTGGCCTGCTGGTGCTTCCGGAGCTCCCGTTCGAGCAGAACGACTTCCTCGTTTTCGACCTTGGTGAGCGCACGGCGGGTGTGCTCCTCCTGCTTCTGCAACTCGTCGCGAACCTGCGCTATGATATCCTTCTGGAAGCTGATCTCCTCGGCTTGCTTTTGCACATGATTGCGGAGGATACTAATATCTTCTTCGTACATCACACGCGTTGCGCTGGTCTCATCCTCCTCGTCGGTGTCGTCTTTGTCAAGGTCTCCAACTGGGGCGGATGGTTGGGGTGGATGAGGGAATTTCTCTTCAGGGCCCGACGGGGTCCGCTGTCGCGTATCGGGTTGATTCGGTTTTTGCTGCTGTGTATGGCAATAAGAAGAGTCAGAACCTTCACCGGACAACAAGCGATCGAGCCCGAAGGTCCACAAAAAAATCAGGGTCCTTCTCGTTGGATCCGATAGCAGACGGGATGGTGTGTTGGGGGTTGTCGGGGAGTTTGTGATAACTGACAGCTTGGAATTCTAGGTGGTACACGCGGCGCACCAAGGCCTCTAACTCGGCTTCGAAGGCGACCTTTGCTGGGCTGGGTTCCCCGGGAAGTTTGGATGATTTGGCACAGTTGGTTGTGGAAAATTCGCAATCAAGAGGGGGGAGACAGAGCCCCTAGTGGGCTCGTCTCTAGCGAGAGACTGGATCACCGCCGTCGCTGCTACGAGAGTCTCGTCCGCACCAGCCATTGTGCCCTAGCACCTTGTTAGTCGATCATCCACGGTCGGAATGATATGCAGAACCCGAAACTCCGAGTCCCCGCGCCGTCTGTCCGGTCGTCCCGGCAAGATACGAATCCAGGGTGAAATGTCTCTCCTGATACCTCGAGGCGTTCGTGGGCTAGGATGGGAGCCACCTCCCAAGAAAAAAGACTTCGGGACAGTCGAACGCCGAAGCGCAGTCAGGACAAGCACAACTTACTGGGACGGGTTACTGACACGTCAAATCCAGCAAGCCGGTTACAGCGACATGGGGTGATTCCACAGGAGTTCTTCGGGGACAGATGTGAGGGTATGATCCACAGACGTCCCGACTGACTCGGGAAATGGGGGATGTCGGAAAGGAGACCGTGAAAGAGAGGGTTCGGGTACCCAAGGATGTTCAGGATGAAGGGGGAGGCAGGACAGCCGCCTGGTAAGGCAGTTATGTAAGCGACGCGTTCTTTTGCGGGGGAAAAAGGCCGGAAAATTAGATAAAGTAGGTATGGGAGGAAAAAGGTAGTTGGAGATAAGGCAAATTAGGGCTCTAAGGGGTGGTAAAAGACAGGGTTCCAAAGTGGAAGAGGGAGCCGATCAAAATCAGAAAGGAGAAGATTTCGAAAGGGGCGGCGACGCCGATGGCTGCTCAGATTTTTGGTTATTTTTTTTGGGAGAGGACGTGGAGAGATATTTTTAGGACGGTGTCTCTGGTCTTTCCAGTGGTTAGTTCTAAGTAGTGCTACTCCATAGGAAAGAACTCCGTACCTACTCTTAAGTATCCTGTCGTGGTTGGCTTTTTGTTTGAACATGCGTATCCTCTCTTAGGAACTCTCGTCCATCCTTTCTCACATCCACACTTACCGCAAATAAAAATAACTATTATAATGATAATGGCCTTCAGATGAGCATGTGCAAGTGACTCCCTCCAGCTCCAACTACTACAACTGATGCTAACGCACGGACAGATAGATGCAAGATGATAGAGTTCACCCTCAGAGCCAAGATATTATCACTCTCGCTAAAACAATCCAAACAAAGAAATCTTAGACGAGCGCGAACCAATATATATGTTGTATATATATATATTCGCATTCAGGAGCGTCGACCACGGCGAAAGCGTTTTTAGTGGTCCTCTTAACGATCGGGCTTCACTTACCGATAGTCCAGAGAAAGATAGGGGCCGCGCTGTACCAATCATCGGGCTAGGTATGAGACATACAGTGACCCCCCACACCCCCATTATTACCTACCCTAATATTCTGCCAACCAAAAACGTCTCCTATTCATCTAACCTGTAGCTAATATACCCTGATTCTCAATCATAGCTCCCATACAATCCGGCATAGTCCATATAATTAGGGGAGGACGTGCATTAAGGAGAAACTAGAGGTAGAAAAGCGTTTCAAGAAGTAGGCGGTGAATGCGGTGTAAAGGTGGGTCAACCAGGGGTGTCCAAACTAAAGAGGTGTGACTGTAAGGTTGGTGTTTACTGGAGCACTGTTTTGGTGGTATTGTTCTGTCACTCTGACAAGCACTATAGTGACTAGTCACTAGACTCATGCATTAGGGCCAGACCTGTATCTATAAAGCTGTGTGTGCGACGTATACAATACAATCATCTTACACGCACGGTACAAGAGTGTCCTTCCTGATCCGGCGGGGATAGACCATGGAAAACAGCCTCTTCGTGGGCCGCAAGTGGCGAGCAGTTGACTTTTTTACGAGGTGCCTAGGAAAGCTATTTAGTCACCGTGCCATACCCACCCACACTGGTTTCGCACGTATACTATGAGGGGCTAGTACTGGCATATTACGACATTGGGTATTCCAAATTAGCCCTGTTTACCGTACAAAACAACAGTTGATGTAGTATTCAGGAGCACTTTGACAAGCTGGGGAAACTAAAACCTCATTCATAATTTGCGTCGGTCGGCTTCCTAGTTGGACGTGTGAATCATATCTATCTACTATTTCCATATCTCCGCGAAAGCGACATAATGAGAGTGTCTAGGGTAGGACCCTATCTCCCTATCGAAATTATTCTACTTTCCGCCGAATATCTTATGCCTGTTGACCTGCTGTCTCTTTTATATGCGGCTCCTGGGCTCGCACGGGTCCTAACTTTTAAGCATACCACGCTTCAGGACGAAGGAGGGAGGTCGATTCTACATCTACTCGCGAGGGAGGGGGAGGGCGAAATGATGAAGCTGCTGCTCGTAAACGCCGGTATCAGGCCAGACTTGAAGGATAATTATGGTCGGACGCCGTTATCCCATGCGGCTGGAGGTGGACACGAAGCGGTGGTCAGACTATTGCTGGACCGACAAGATGTCGAGGCGGACTCGAAGGATAACGATGGGTTGACTCCGACATCCTGTGCGGCTGGAGGTGGACATGAAGCGGTGGTCAGGCTACTGCTGGACCGACAAGATGTTGAGGCGGACTCGAAGGATAACTTGGGTCGGACACCGTTGTTATATGCGGCCTGGCGCGGACATGAAGGGGTGGTCAGGCTACTGCTGGACCGACAAGATGTTGAGTCGGACTCGAAGGCTACCTGGGGTCAGACACCGTTGTCCTTTGCGGCTGGAGGTGGACATGAAGCGGTGGTCAGGCTACTGCTGGACCGACAAGATGTCGAGGCGGACTCGAAGGATAACTTGGGTCGGACACCGTTGTTATATGCGGCCTGGCGCGGGCATGAAGCGGTGGTCAGGCTACTGCTGGACCGACAAGATGTCGAAGCAGGTTTGAAGGCTAACTGGGGTCGGACACCGCTATCGTGTGCGGCTGAAGGTGGGCATGAAGCGGTGGTCAAGCTCCTGCTGGACCGATAAGATGCCGAGGCGGACTCGAAGGATAACTGTTGAAGAGGGAAGCACTCGATGGTAGTCTGACAAGCAGACGGGTCGAAGTAGCGGATGAATCGCACACTTCTACAGTGCTCAGCACCGAGGATATAGTAGGAGATATCAAAAGAAGGTCATAGCGAGGCAAAAGAATGTGTATTCGAAAAATTAACTTTGTGGTCTCGGGATGGGCGAGTTTTACTCCCAGGAGGGTTGTCAAGGTATATTTGGAGTGGAGACTGCATTGTACCCAATAATATTCAATAAATACCCTACTTCTTTAAAAACACAATAAATTAATTGTATTTATAATTTTTCTAAACCCTCGCATTTCTGAGTCAACCAATTGTTGATCAACAACTACAAGTTTGCTTGCCGTTGACCCCTCATCTTTCACCACTATGAGCCTTGTACTACTCGTCGACGATGTCTTACAGACTATGTGTCTATTCTCGTTTATTCTACTGATTGTCGTGTATAATATCGTTGATATTGATTGTGCTTTCGGTCAACTTCCAAATAACCGTTGGTTGCATGTTATTGTTCATCAACGTCATGTCTCTTCAACCAGTGTCTTTGCGCTTTGCCCGCGTTTTAATTTGCATTCCAAATATTAATTACCCAGACCAGATCCCGCTTTTTTATCTCGCGAGTGAGACCCTCACATTTCTGGGATCATATTCGATCCCAGAATCCATGGTATGGTTCCTAGGCACGCTCTTGGCCGCTCACAGGAGGAACGGTCATGGTCCAAGAGTGTGACGGTTCATAGATGCTTGGGTTTTTGATGATGGGACAGGCTACAATGATGGAGATGCAACTACCAATGATGAATTCTATTGGTTGATGATGACTGACTAATGGGAAAAGAGAGAGCAGGGGACGATAGAAGATAGTGTCAGACTGGGATATGGCCCCCCTAGGCCCTAAACAGGAACCGAGCTTTTTGTTATGGTCTAGTGGTAAAATAGGCTGTATTTTTCCCATAGATAGCAATCATGGAGGTCCTGCGGCACATACGATCACGTGATGTGGCACGTGACCACTAGACCCAATAGATAACTGTACACTCATGTAGAGTATACTTCGAAATTTAATTAGGTAGATTTACCTGCATTTGCTGTTCTTGTTTTGTTGATTTGTTAATTTTCAAACGAGACAAGGGTAATACCGAGATATCAGTTCTTTATGGAGCGACTCGTTCAACATAAATAAGGGACTGTGGGTTCCTGCGCCGTAAATATTGGAACACAGCCAACGGATATGGCTCAAGAGCTTTCTCAATAATGATATTATCTCACAGATATCAACAGATTGTAATTGCGCAGGCGTTCTTGACCCCGTTCATACAGACTGGCAACCACGGAATGGACCTCGGGTGAGATCTCCCCCACAGTGTTATGGCTCTTTTACCGACCTGACGTGCCGAGATTTCTGCGATGGCTTCGGATGAGCGGGACCCCTGCTTCGCTGACAGCTCATGTACACAGCAGATTTGCCAACTTACCGGCCCACACCTAATAGATCCAAGCAAGTGAAGCGGGTATGACGGCACGTCAGACACTTGAATGAGGAGAGGCTTTTGCGGAACTCACTCGGTGGACCAGGACAGGAACTGCCAAATGCCGTCAACAAGTCGTCTATTCCACCAACCCATATCACACACGCCAATTGAAGGATTCAATAAAGATCCTCATACCGTCGCGTAACTGGTTCAATCGGACGGTTCCACTTGAGGTTCCACTTGAGAAAGACCTTGCTTGTCTTTTTTTTTTTTTTTTTTTGATAATCAATGGCTCAATTATCCTTCCCTGGTTTTCCCCGTGTGAACATAAAAGAAACGAAGTTGACAAACATGGCGACATTATGTTTAATGTATTTCACTCATGTTTGAATAGGTTACAGGTGATATTGACGAGCATTCTCCACGGAGATACCCAGCCTCTCCCACATCGCTTCCACATTCATATCCTCTCGGCCGCTGGTGAAGATGTTAGCTTCTGCTGGGGTGATGCAAGAAAATAAGGAGCTCACTCATTCTTTGGGTTGATCCAAGGCTCTGTCTGACCCTCTGCGGTATTGGGATTGCGGAAAATCACGTTGTGTTTCTGAAAAACAATGGTTAACCCAGTCAGATCTCGATAGGTTCCATAGAGGAGTGGGAGACTTACCATCCCGAGTGTCAAATGAATGGCCCCAGGTCCCTTGACAAATGTATCCTCAGCAGCGCGGCCTTCAATCAACGCCTGGATGTTTTTCGCGACAACCGCTGCCTGTGCCGAGCCTGGCCGAGCGGCCTTTTGGGCACCGGTATCAGCAATATCACCCACAGCAAACAGGTTCGAATATTGCTCATCCATGAACTGCATAGTGGGTTTAACGCGAATAAATCCATTATCCGGATTGACGACCGACTTGCCGTCCGGGCGGGAAGACTTCAAGTCAGCCACTAGCTGGTTATTTGGGGTTTGTCCAGTGGCCAAGATGACGAATTGAGTGGACTCGACGGTACCGTTTGTGAGTTGAACATCAAAGGTGCTGCCATCGTTGGGAAATCCACTCGGTGGAACAGTGACTCGAGAACCAGTGATGAGTCGAATTCCCAGCTCATCAAATCGTCTCTTAATCAGGTCATGGAGTGCGGAGTGGAAGCTCGGCATCACCTGCGGCCTCGATTGAACCACGGTCACCTCTTTCTCTGGGTAATATTCTTTCAGGTCGGCTGCCATTTGAACACCGACGGCACCGCCGCCGACAATCAAAATCGATTGAGATCTGTTAACTCCAGCTTGATGCTTTTGCAGATACTCGACTGACGATGCCTTGTCATCATCATCCATAGCTGCAGGCTTAGAGAGACGTGTGCCAGTCGCAAGAACGACATAGTCAAATGGAACCTGCTTTGAGCCCTGCCATTCACGGTCCAACTCAACATGGGTCGGTTGGACTGACAAAACGCGAGCCTGGACTACACCATGAGAGGAGGGGTTGGGTGATGCATTGAAGATCCCGCTGTAAGGAATAAAAGCTTTATGCTCCTGTCCTGGAACAATTGCAAACCGAGGCTATGGGCCATATTAGCTCTGGGAGATTTACTGAAATGAACATCCACTGGCTTCGAAGTCAACTCACAAATGTGAAAAGATGGTGGAAGTGGCTATGGGGCTCAGTCAAAAGGACCTGCACAAAATATTAGCTTCGTCTTCAAGGTAGTCCCTTAATGCTAGCTCAATAGTAGCGTACCCGGTGTGTTGCAGGCACGATGCGTGCGAGCTCCTGGGCTGTGGTCTGTATTGATATTAGCAGTTACACTCTCTTGGGCAGAAGGGTGAACCTACACGGCCGACGAACGAGCCGCCAACCACAATAATATTCCGTAGTGAGGTTGCCATTATGAAAGATGAAATTTTGAGGGGCAGTTCCAAGGTTGGCCAGAAGAACCCTTTATAAATAGTCCTGGCCCTTTTTGTAATCTGATCAGATTATCAGATTAACTCCGATGCCAATTTCCCCATTCGGCTATTCCCGAACCACCGGAGTAGTTTATATCCGCCGAAAACCGAACGCCACCTCCAAGTCCCGGCATCCGGTCTAGGACTCGTCAATTACCTAGGATGAGGCGCAAGTTGAAGCCGATCTCGCATAACTGTCAGGTCCTTGGGGTAGGATTTTGACTATAAAGAGAGAATACATCTGCGTATGAATCTAGCAGCATATGATTGTGGAGTGGATTACTGAGGAGCCCCTGTTTTGATTAAGAGAAGGCATGATTGACTGGTATGCGTTCGACTATTCACATCCTAGGGCCTTGTCTCTACTCAAAATTTGCAAAGAACACGGAGATCGTCTAGTGAAGCATCATCTGAAGGAAAATACACCCACTTGGGCAAGAAACCATACGACGAAAACCATGGAACCAGTCTCAAGGCTCTCCCCAGATTGAAAATGTACTTCCGAGATCAAATGTTTACGCAGGGTGCCAGGTGATGGTTTTCGCAAGGGGTCCACCACGGTCATAAGTGGCCAGCACGTTGTGATGATCCAATGCCATGATTCCAGGCCAAAAGCTGGAGGCCGGGGAGAGAACAGTTGGCGAGCTCCATTGAACACGCCCTTCAACCGGCTGGCTAGCAAATACGACCTTGATAGAGGCATTCTTCACCCATTCCACGTGCTTAGAGTCTTCGTCTGTCATGAATATCGTGGCCATAGATCCATCCGCAAAAGAGGCAATTTGGGGCGAGCCTGCATTATGACCTTGTCGTGGGCGGAAAACTTCATGACGCCAACCCCAGGTGGCACCATCATCATAGGATAGAAGCGCTTCAACACTGAACGGTCCGTACCGGGTGGTCTCGAATACCATGAGAAGAGCCTCGCGGCCGTTATCAAAAGTCCGTGCAATGCCGCACATTCCATCGCGAAGCGGATCTTGGTCACCATGCAGACAAGTCGGCTGAGTCCAGGTATTCCCTTGGTCCCGCGAGACGACTAGCATGGTACATTGGTTGTTATGCGCGAACTCCTGCGAGAAATAAAGCTGCACCTCACCCTGGCGCCCGACTCGCATGAAGGGTTCCCAAATGCCCAAAGGCGGGCGCTTTTCGGCTGCCTGTGAAGCGAATTTCCAGGTCCGACCACCATCCGTAGACCGGCAGACAGTGATGCGGAAGTGCGTAGCGCCATTTGGGCCCTTGTCATGATTGCGGAAAGCCGCCAGTATTGTCCCCGGAGCCACCTCACACAAAAACATGTTATCCACGTCGCCAGCACCGCGTGTTACCTCGGAGAAGTCTTCGAACGTGAGGCCGTTATCGGTACTTCTTGCGACGCGAAGAGAGCGTTGTCCATCGGGGAATCGCGTAAAGGACGAGAGTATGGTACCATCTGAGAGCCTACAGAGACGAGGGTATGTGCCATTGTTGGGAGGTGAAGATAATCCGCGTTCATCGTTGTTCACAGCTGGTCTGCCTGAAAGCCGAACGGCCGAAGAGTTCTGTTGATGAGCATGATCATTCAGACCCAAGGTCTTGAGTACCTTTTGGCCGAAATATCCAGGCATTTTGATCTTGAAAATCCGAGAGAGTATGACAGAAACTTGTCCTGCAAGGCTGCAACATTCTGTTACTCAAAATGCGCGGAGACATCACCTGGGCATATGACGTCAATGTCCGATGTTGCTTACCTAATTGTTTCTGTTCTCCCGGTTAGATACGGGCGAAGAAACCTCAGTGCAAGAGAGCTATTTCAGTAGTTTGAGGCACAAACGCGTTGCTGGAGTCAGACCCCAACATTTCAGTTTTTACTGTCCTGGATTTCATCGCCCACTATGTTGCGTACATCTGCGTACATCACGACATAACCATCTAGTTATTTGATGCACTTTGCAAATTCGCCGAGTTCCACCGCCACCCAAGTTGACCATGTGCCTGTGAAGGTCACCCAATTTCCCCAAGCCGATACCGATGAATATAAGCTCCGCGATATGCACTGCACGTATCACGTTTGGGCTTAGGAAGTTCACAATATTCATCCGTACCCCCAATCAGTCCCCATTACAACCAGACCGAAGTCATTTACGGAGCGGTTTCCACTATAAGATACATGGCAGAGATCAAGGCTGTGGTACATCGGCCTATGTGTGGACCTTCCACGATGCTCAACTCCAAAGCGGTGACCTGGCATGTTCACCTTGAGCTTTGGGGGCTCGGCTGGTACTCATCAGCTGATTCTCTATGGCATGAACTGTTGATCTCCTCTCTATGGAAAATGTCAAGAACCAGATGTAGGGTTGAATTCGCGGGCAAAATCAAGTGGCACCTACGTACTTGATTTCCGCTGCCACTTCTTGGCGTTCTCTTTCCGTATTAGTGCTCAGCCCTTGCCGCTTTTTGCTCACTGAGTAGTACGATTCTGGGCGCGTGGTAGTGCGCTCCAAATAAGGTGGTCACGCGGTAAAGTATGTAGTCTCGCGATGGTGCGCTGGGCGCGGTGACCAAGTGTCCATGTGGTCAGAGACTTTCCAAACGATATTTTGCCTCGAAGATGTAATTCAAAGAGCTATGATAGGCCGGCAATATGTGAAATAAACAAAGGTTTGAGAGAATCAATTCATTCAATATAACTAGCTTTCATCCTCCCAGTCTTCCATTTCGAAGGACGTCATATGCTTTAGAGGACGTGAGAGCTTCAGCCAAAGTTCGTTATCCGGATCATCATCTTCAATATACAAGTAGCCAGTATCCGCGCTATCGTTGTAGATCCCGCTGGATTCGTCTTCAATCTTCTGCGCAGTTTCAAATGACAGCCACATATATCTCTCCACAACTCCCGGGTCAGCCGGCTGACCGCCATAGATACCAGGAGAGCCCCATTCGTCTCTGGGATGCTGTCCCCAAGGAACAACCATATCAGAAAATTGGATAGAAGAATGAGCAAAAGAATCTCTGGGCTCCAAATCAGGCTGTAAACTTGCTTCCACAGTGGTATCGTAAGGGCCGAACTCTGAGATTTCTCTGCTTCCAATGGAACGCTCCCTGACAAATTCCTCTAGATATTTGAGGTAGAACGGGTTTCTGCTCTGCTTAGCAGCCTCGAAGAAGGACTCGCGTGGAGGGGGCTTCAACGACCTAAAAAGCGATTTGTAGTCACAAAGTATGGCGGTGATCGCAATTTGGTGTCTCATGGATGGACACTTACTAGCTAGCTCACGTAAAGTATTCTTATGAGGCCTTACCGGCCACCAGATAAGCCAAGGAAGGCAGTCAGAGTCATCGTCAAGGTCAGAGATATCATTGTTCATGATTTTGCGAGCATTTATCGCAGTGCGAATCTCGCGACACTTACGCTCATTGCCTTCGCTGAGTAATTTACCTAGGAGAGTGATTCGCCTAGGGTTGGTTTCTAGCTGATAGGCCTACCATCGGGCAAAACTTGTATGGTAATAAATCCCACGAAGAATACAATTGTATTTAGTTTCCGTTCTAAGCCTCCGTGGGTGTATCAATCGAGCGTATCTATCCACATTACCCTCCCATACAGCCATTTGCGTTAGAAGGCATTTATCAAGAACTAGAAGATCAAGCGGAAGAGGCATCCACAAATGCTTAGAGTCTCCTAGGCCGAGTTTCGCACCTAGGCCGAGTATCGTATCGCGATCTACTTTGCTGATTTTTTCTTTTAACCCAATATATCCATCTTCCTCAATGTCAATATCATCTGCAGTTATATCTGGCAAGTTCTTAGGAGGAAGAACACGCCGGCCTAAAGCCCGTCGGGGCTTCATATTGCCGTTTAGAGACGCGGGTGCCTATAGGTTTTCCAGACTAACCGATCGAGTGAAATCATCCATAACAGCCCATCTTTGAGGAGCCGATATAATGATTTTATAGATATCGGCGTCTTCGGCAGTATTGCGGGCTTCTTCAGCAATAGATACGTCTAGCAGAAGATCCAATTCTTTGTAAAGATCCGTATACCAAGCAGCAGCACAAGCGCGGCCGACTTAATAGCGCATCGATGGATATCGACGGGCAAGCTCGCGGTAGGTTTCTTCCGATACAGGTTCTAGATACCAAATGCAGTATGGTTCAGTGGCAGGATCTTGTATATCGGGGATGATGTTGCTCATTATCAGGCGAGCATTGCGGGCGCGAGAAAACTGATGAGCCTGGTTATCGTCGCCGGAGCATAGCTTAATGATTGCTGGGCTTGTTGCAAATTGGAGTGAATCACGGATCCCGCGAATGACTGCTCTACGATGCCAAAGAGAGGTTACAACGGACGGGACTTTCCCCCCCCTTTATTGCCGCGATGCATTGATCGAAGTCGTATTCAGCGGGTTGTTTCTTGCCCGTGTGGACTGGTAGGTCCGTGGGGGAAATGACAGAGCTTTCCCCTACAACCTGGGTGGTTGCCATGAAGATAAATAGTGCAGGGGTGTGAGGCTGATAGTTGTCCGAAGGGGGATGAAAGAGAGAGGGGGAAAGAAAGGCAGATTCTTGAAAGAGCGGAACGTGCTGTGCCCCGCAGGGATTTATAGGCTAGGCCGATAGTAAAATTGGTATTTGAAGCGCTTTATGAGACTAATCTCCCTTAGATTTCTGGTGTTTAATTCTTCATCTTATTTGTCACGTAAATCAGATTGGTTTCCGGCCCCTAGTGCCGCATACCCTGCATACGCTGTACCATAAACTTACAAATCGGTACCTGAAGTGGGCTGTATAGTATATGATTTGCATTAAATTGTGGCGTTGCTTGAGTAGGGGGTTTTCTTTTAGCAAGTCGCGCTAATCCGTATCTGATCCCACTATAGTTAGCTAAGGTCGGGGTCTCTCCGAGGCTGGGTGTTACGCACTACTAACTGGTCACAGTTAGCTTAGATGGGTTCAGGGTATACTTGCCTTAATACCCCTCGGTTCGTCCAACGTCGATGATCCGTTCTCAACTGAGCTATTGCCATGCTGGGCCTTGCTGTAGCCTAAGTCCTGTTGAATAATCAAGGAACGATGCCAGGTAGAGCGCCGAGTAGATCTATACCGGGGTATAGGTCTGCTCGTGAGTGTTAAGTTATAATCAAGTAATAGAGTCATAGTAATCCAAAAGGTAAACACAAGTAACAATATATAATTGAAGACGAAGAACTAAGCTAAGTATATGAGGGAGTGACCTTATATACCCTTCGTTTCCTACTCCTTGAGCCTGAGATTTTACCTCTCCGCTGTGAAACCCGAGGAAAGCAACGGCGAAGTATTAGACATGGCTTACACCGCCAACCGGGTTCCTGGTCCATCAAATGGTCGGTCACAACTAGCTACTTTGGCCGCAATGGAATCGGTGCAGGCCAACCAGGCCGGGAGGTGAATCTCTGGTGGAACGAGCATCAGCATGGCTACAGGAATATGTGCAAGATATTTGGACCTGCTCCTCGCAAGATGCCTCCGTCTTCATGAGTCTTCTTCAAGCCCGCCTTTGATTTTGCTTGATCGAGGCCCTGAACGGAGTCTTTCCAAGATACACAACACTGAGTCAATAGAGCCATGAGTCGGGGCACTATCTCGCTTTCGACCGTATGGCAGAGGCAAAGTTGATACCTTCGCATGATTACTTTCGTCATACAATCTGAGGTTTGCAATATGGCGTCTGAGATACCCAGTCATCACGGAGAGAGATAGTTGCGTTCAGGAACAAAGTGCTTGATAAGTCCAAGTATCTAATAAGCTATCCGAAAATCCGGTTCTTCCGATATTTCCATAAACACTGGCCTGTTATCAACTTCGGACTTCCGCAGTGACTCTAGCAACATGTCCTTAACCCCATCAAGTTTCCCCCCTTATTCTTCAAACGAGATTTTGACAATCTTTGCGGGCTCGATGAATGAGCCCAAAACAGGCGCAATTTGACCACCGTTGGTGCCAACATAGAGTATCTGTCGGTCTTTGCTCAATCTAACCGAGCTTGCACCTGCTAGTTGTCTGGATACTTGGCCACCCGCAACGAGGGAGATCTGGCCCGAAGGTGTGAGGCGCACAACAGAGTTCTGGGGGGCTGTTGGGATATATGCAGTGCCGTCCTCGGCCATCTCGATGTTATCTGGTAGGAATCCACTGGCAATTATTTCAAAATCTCCGATTGGTTTGACATCCTTGTCCACCTTGACCTTGCAATATACCATTCGTGTCGTGCCGGTATAGTACACATAGTCACCAAATACTGTCAGGGCATTGACACCCAGAGGTAGACCCTGGCCCTCCGCCGGAGCCATAGTAGTATCATTCAGTGCGACGGAATAATCTCCTGTTTCGGTATCGACCTTCCATATTATTCCCTTGGGGCTATCGGCAATGAGAACCAAATTCGACTCCCGTGAGAATGTGACCATGCCATTCAAAGCCTCCGCATCAGGCATTGCGACGATCTCCGAGGCCTTTGGCGATTCTAGCGCACGCTCGTTCTCCTCGGCCTCGATCTCGGTGAAGTCCAATTTATGGACCGAGAAAGACCCTGGACCTGGCTGGAAGGTTTTGGGGGAGAAATTACCCACAACAACTGCGAAGATATCGTCGTCGATTTCACTGATTCCGAAGCAGCTTGTGACGTTGGGGAACGAGTAGGTGAGGGTCGCATTTCCGCTCGTGGTGTTGAAAAGCCAAACCTCGGGGGTGTCTAGACGCGTGAAAAGGAGGTGTCCGTCTGATCGAAGAACAATATTGTCGATCCATGAGCCATTGTTAGGGAATTGAAAGACGTTCTCGACTTTCACATTCGGTTGCTCATTACGGTAGGGGGCTGCCGATATCTTTTCAGTGGTGTCAAACAAAGACCAGGATCCTAGAGCCACTGGAAGAATAGCTAGGCCGCTGAGCAAGGTTGTATAGAAGTGCATGTTGGGGACAATGATCGGATGTTGAAAAAAAAAAAACAACAACAGTGAGGGATGTCCTGGTTAGCTATATGCTGCTACAATACCCGCACCAATGGGCCAAGAACTTGAAAATGCTCAGCAAATGCACCTGTTATCATTTTTCTCCCAATTATGTGGGAAGACCGCCCGCATTCCTCGGTAGGGATGTTTTGATGTTGCCGGAGCTAACCCTACATTCCCTACGTGCATAACCATCATTGCTCGGATGTATCAACAATGAGGAAAAGGCAAACATGACTATAGGTGGATAAGTGTATTCTCAATGCTCTCGGCTGGTTGAGATTAGATTTTCATTTTGTTATGCCCAATAGTGGCAAAAAGAGTACGTAGATAACAGTATGTTAAATGTAACTAAATATATAGTCATAACTCTCAATATCCTCTACATTATTTAATATTATTTTCACAAATGACTTTGGAATGGTTGACCCTTGGGAAGCTGGGCATAACCGTAAATGTTCATTGCCGCCCCGTCTTTCTGCATCTGCTGCGCCCATTCCCCAAGGCCTTTCATGAAAACTTCCATGTTGGCATCATTGCTTAGGTCAATGGGTTCTTCATCTTGTGCGATCTGCAACATTTGTGCGCCCGCAGCAGGACTTGTCTTAAAAAAGTCCTGGGGATCAATCTTCTGCTGGATTGCACCCTGAACAGTTCCGGCGAGCAGGTCCTTTGGCAAGCGAGGCTCCTGGGTAATAGACCGGCCAAGACCGACGCCATCAACTGTTTCCAGGGCCTGGACCATTCCAGACACTGTGCGAAATCCTCCGGTTACATAGCTGCGGGTATGCTTGAGAGCAGGAGCGATGAGGTCTGCAAATTCCAAGAAGAATGATTCTCGTTTCTGCGAAGACTCCCGTTTGTGCTGAAAGGCACCAGCTTCATAAGTTCCACCGGACAACTCAACAAAGTCAAAGTTCACGCGGTCGAGGATCGCACATAGTTCCTTTGACTCCTCGGGGGTGAATCCATGAGCTTGGAATTCCACCGAGTTAATCTTGATTCCGATGATAAAACCGGGATCCGGGAGTGCTTGACGAATAGCCTGGACGATTTCCACAATAATACGTGCACGATTGGCCAAGCTCCCACCGTATTTATCCGTCCTCTTGTTTGTTGTCTGGGACAAGAATTGGGCGAGGAGATACCCATGGGCGGAATGCAGCTGAATACCATCATACCCAGCCTTTTGCAGGTAGACGGCTACATGGACAAAACGGCGGATAATATCCTGAATCTCCTCCTCGGTAGCTGCGTGGGGTTTTCCAAACGCGCCAAATTTATCCATGACGAGCTGGACATCGCTAGCAGAAACTGGGTTGGATTGCAGCTTCTCAAATGTCTGACGACCAGGATGGCTGACCTGACCAACGATCAAACTTCCGTGCTTCTTGGCGGCGGTGGCCAATTCCTTGAATGCCTCAAATCGTTCACCAGCGAATGGATTCTCAAGATCGATGATCATGTTTCCTGGTGACTCAAGCTGGTCGTATGCAATCATAATGTTGCCGGTGAGGATAAGTCCAAATTGACCCTCTCCCCACCGACGATAGAGATTGATGAGTTTTTGACCAGGAATCCCTCGAGCTGAAGGATCACTTGGAGACCACGAGCCCATTCTTTCCGTCAGAGCGGCCTTCAGAAAGCGATTCGAGGCTTTGCGCTGACTGAATTCGAACTGCAATGGCGCCCCAAGAAGTGACACGTCGACATTTTCGCAGGGAAACCTCGGAGACATAGTAAAAGACAGGTAATATATACCTGTGATAGCTGTAATTTGGAAAATAATCCAGATTTAATTGAGGCACATAGCTTCTTTTATATTCTCAAAATTCAATCTTGGTCACTAATCCAGGTCCACCCAATTCCACCGTGGATCGGCAGTCTGTTCGGCCAGAAGTCTGTCGAGGGAATGAAGTCCGATCGTGATCCACTTCACGATATATGTCAGCATATTGCCAGCTAGTTATCTAAGGTTGGGAAATTGGAAGGTTGGAATATCCCCGGATACCATCTAGATGTTTGGTAATTATGTATTTCTAACTTGCATATGTCATTAACATGAATCCACGGGGAGTTAACTGTGCCGAAGCCTTTTCCCTTTTTCAATTCTTCTTCAAATTAGATTTGTAATCATATATCCCCTGATATTGCCCAGGTTGGCGTGACCTCTCATTGGCCTGCGGCGTTGTCCACTCACCCAATACAGTCTTCTGCATAAACTTATACCTGGTACATTATTTCGTACTGGAAGACCGGGACTGATTGGAGATATCCACACAGGAGTTGCTACTGGTCGCATTGGACGGGGTAGCCCGGCGCGGTTGATGTGGGGGAAAAGATTTAAGTGTTTCAGGCGCAATGAGAAAAGTGAAAAGGGTTGAGGCGTCAAATTCAGTATGCATGAATTGACGAGTCTCAAAAGGAAATTGAAAGTCATCCGCATCTTGAATCCGGTGTGTTACATGTGTGCATTGTCTGTCTATGGTTATGCTCAATGCGACAGACCAACAGTTGAACGCAACGATATCAAAGGGATAAAAGAGAAGTATCTACCAGCTTCAATCATACCAAGTGAGAACAAAAAACACGGGAAAAAAAAGAAAGAAATGCCCACTATGATGAATATCAAGACGTCGGCAAAACGCCGAGGCCATATAACCGAAGAAGCCGAGCCCCACCTTTTTCAAGACAAAGGTATCCCTGACCTTTTGGATATTCATAGATTATTTGAATCAAAACAGCCGATTCTTCTGTTACCTATGGAGACGGAGAGTCCAGTTCGGCCACGTACGCGGGCAAAGAAAGCATGTCTGTCATGTAACTCGCGCCGCGTGCGGTGCAACGTCTTAGAAATGCAACCCTGCCAAAATTGCGTCTCATGGAATCTCGCCTGCGAAGTAGGAGTTTCACGTCGCGGAAAGTAAGAAAATCATGGATAATTGTCCGCGTTTATACTCATTCTAGGCAGATATCCCCGGCGAAGGAAAAAGGGATGGGCTCGAACGTCCGCAACGCCGAATGACACGGCAAATGCGTCGCATTCCCGAGTCATACAGGGACAATTCCCATTAACTGGACAGAGCTCTCAGTATCTACCCGCTCGTCCCGCAACAGCGGAGGATGCGATCCATAAAACCGTCTTTCTTGGCGAGTCAAGTCCTCTCACCTGCGTTGTGGATGAAGGGCGACGATCTCCAGACAAGGGGTATGCATGTAGTATCCAAAATGGCCGACTTCACTACTCCATTTCTGAGATTAGTGGCGCAACTGGAAGTATTCAGGATTCACTGGGGCCCCGCCGGAAGCTGGTACATGATCGACTTACCCGGGAAGGGGCTCTCGTATTTCCATCGCCTGCTGTCTGCGACACGTTACTTCAGGCTTATTTTGACTGGCTACACCCATGTTTTCCAATCCTTGATCGGGCAGACCTGCAAAGTGACTATCAAGATGGCAGGCTGTCACCTTTGCTCTTCCAGTCAATGCTCTTCATTGGTGTGAGCTTGTGCTCGGATACATCTTTGAACACTACGGGTTTTAATAATCGTTACCAAGCCAAAGAAGTATTTTATCAACGAGCAAAGGATATGTATGATTCAGGATGGGAGACCGACACGGTTATAAAGTTGCAGTCGTTGTTTCTCCTGAGCTTTTGGCGTGGAAGTCCAACCGAGGAGCGCGATGTTCGATTCTGGCTTGGAGCTGCTATCAGCCTTGCCCAGAAAAAGGGCATGCATGTCATGTACGCATACCTCATTTAATTGAATCTGAATACACGCTGACTAGCATAGGTCGAAATTGTCCTTCCTGAATAGCAAAGAGCAAAAGCTTTGGAAACGAATCTGGTGGGCTTTATATGTACGCTTCTCGTCGCTCAATCTGTGCCTATATGGCCCTGGGATTAACAATTTATTAGGTTCGTGATCAACAAACATCAGCAGCTTTGGGACTGCCACCTCGAATACGTGACGAAGACTGTCAAATCGCAGACCTTGAAGTCGCAGACTTTGAGGAAAGTGAGCCCATGGGACCTCCAGAAATATTCCGCACACCACCAAAAGTACACATTCCTTACGTGATTGGAATGGCCCAACTGGCCAGGTTATGTATGATGTCCTAAAAAATTGGCACATTCGCATTTACTAACAGTTCTATCTCTAGTGCGGGAAATAGTTTGCAGCCAGTATCTACCTGGTCGATCCAAGTTGGACAATGATGCTCGACCGATGCTCCGTCAACGTTTAGTTGACTGGGAGTTGATCCTCCCGAAGGAATTGCAGTTTCAAATGCCCATGAGCAGGGAGGCGATGTTCCTGGTTGGCATGCTTCATATGGCTTACAAGTATGTACTACTGCCCTAGTAGTAATAACGAAGGCCCGTTCCGGCTAAGAACCATACAGTAATTTGTACATTCTCCTATACAGACCCCTTTTCTTGCAACCCGCAGGCCGGTCGGCGAATCCAGAAGGAAATGTCGCCCTGGATGCAGCAACACGAAGCACGCGAATTTTAGAGGACATGCTCTCAGAAAACCTGGTCCAACATGGATCAGTTCACTTGTAGGTTCTTCTAATCACCTCGAACTAGACTAAGAGTAACACTAAAACAGAATTACCCACACTTTCTCGGCTTTGTGTATACATACCATTCATTTCGGACGGGTTACCGGCACGGCCCGGAAGCTAGCAGAACACAGGGCAAAGTTATGCCTCTTGGGCTTGAAGGAATTACAGAAATCATGGGACTTGGAGAACTGGGTCCTGGATCTTTTCTTCAGGTGCTTGGATGATCGTACTGCTCGCGATCTCCGGTTAGCCGATCCTGCTATGCCATCAACATCACAAACAGGCGATGGCCGAGATATTGAGGAGATGCCACCTGCGTCTCCTGCTAGTGGTCAATATAGACCCCGTTCTCCTAGCGCAGCGGAGGATATCTTGCAAACTCCTAACATGATGTCTCACCATAATCCCGGGGAAGAGGCAGCAATTAATATGGACTGGTATGAGTTGTTTAACGTGGATGGTGATGATGTGATGGGCCTTGCTGGCTCATTATCAAATCCAGACTACTTGAACCCACAGAACCTCGAGTTCCTGTATCGATTCCTATAGTGCTGCAATCTCAATGCCAATATTCATTTCGAATATCTAATTGCGTATATAACGCTGAGATCTGTAGAACTGCCGCTGAAAATGGCTGAGATGATGACCCCGTGGTTCATGGGGAACAGTGGCATCTTCATTCCCAAACTGTCTGAGTGAATACTTGGGTTCTTATAAGATTTATTATATACATCAATTTGATAGACCTAACTCCGCAAGAATCGCTTCATTGTGCTCTCCAACCCGTGGAACTGAGCCCATCTGAGCGCCATATCCAGCTCTTTCAGCCGACTTGCTTGATCCAGGAGGCAAAAGAGCGGGAATGGCTCCCACGGGGGTTTGGACCTTGGTCCATCGGTCTCGTGCTTGAAGCTGGGCATGGTCCCAAACATTTTTCATGTCATTGACACTAGAGTTGGCAATTGACGATTCGTCCAACCGAGCTATTATTTCCTCTGTCGTGAACTTCGAGAACGCATCATGAATGATAGATTTAAGCTCATCCCGATTTTGAGTTCGTTGTGAGTTGCTGGAAAATCTAGGATCGATAGCTAGATCTGGCTGCGAGAGGACACCGCTGCAGAAGCTGACCCATTCCCGCTCATTCTGAATGCCCAACATAACCGACTGTCCATCACCAGCTTCGAAGGGTCCATAAGGGTAGATGGCTGCATGCGAGGCACCTGTTGGTACCGGACCTGGAGCATTGTCGAACGCGTAGTACATTGGAAATCCCATCCATTCCACCATACTTTCTAGCATGGAGATGTCAATCTGACAACCTTGGCCATCTTTACCACGCTGCAGGAGAGCCGACAGAATGTTGCTGTAGGCGTACATTCCCGCAGCAATATCGGCGATGGAGATACCAACCTTTACTGGCTCTTTTCCAGTGCCAGTGACGGACAGCATTCCAGCCTCGCTCTGAATAAGAAGATCGTAGGCTTTCTTGTCGCGATATGGGCCATCTTGCCCATATCCAGAGATATCACACACAATCAAACCAGGAATTTTCTCTTTCAATGTTTCATGGGAAAGCCCCAGTCGTGCACTGGCACCAGGGGCCAAATTCTGAACGAGAACGTCGGCCTTTTCGATGAGCTTCATCAGGATGGCATGGTCTTTTTCGCGTTTCAGGTCCAGAGCCAAACTTTCCTTGGAGCGGTTTGTCCATACGAAATGTGACGCTAACCCACTAACTCGGGTGTCATAATGTCGTGCAAAGTCTCCAACACCTGGTCGTTCAACCTTGATGACTCGAGCTCCAAGATCGGCAAGTTGTCGCGTGCAAAAAGGCGCAGCAATAGCTTGCTCCAGACTAACCACGGTAACTCCAGCCAGAGACAAAGGCCTGTGTCTTCCAGACGGCGCGCCGGAGTAAAGCCGAGACGTGAGATGTGATTCTTTTGCAGTTTGAACTGCGCCCGACAGGGCTTGTAGCCGGGAAGTAATTGAGAGGAATGATTTCATTGTTGCCTAAACATTGGAATCTGACGATATTGGTGTGAATTTGGACTACAGCGATAGCTAGCTAGCTACCTTGTAGATATGGAAAATTGATCTGAGTTTCTGAGATGCTGAATCCCCGAAAGTCGACGCGGGAGAAAGACCTCGGTCGAAATGCCGGTCTCCATATAGCATATGCCAAGCCCGACGAGTCGGCTGTATGGTATGCTCAAGTGGACATGATCGATCACATCGCTGCGAGGAACTGCCTCAGTTCAGGTTTGTCAGGCTAAGAACGCACCTGAATAAACCCAATGTGCCTGGTGTGCAAAGTATGGAGTAGCCACACCGAAACCAAGCCTTGGCTGAGTATTGCTGTCACTCTTAATTTTAATTCATAATAGCAGAAAGCAAGGATAGTTCACCTTGAAGTTCAGATGTAAAAAGAACTCGGGTGATACATACGCTGTGTCGAAATGGGGTTTTGGGAATGATCGCAACATATATTCTGTCAACATCTCAAAATATATAAATTTGAATGTTAGAAGGCAACAGTCACCACACGTGGGTATGAATCTTGCCCCATCTAAAGATCAACCACAAACGTCCAGGGAAATCCATCTTTCGTCAAGCTCCAATTCCGATGAATGCCAAGCACACGGAAAATCCACGTGCCCAATGAGCGGCGGGAATTTTGTGGGCGTTAAAGTTGCGGGGACCCCTGAAAGAACCTCGTATTCTCGCAATGTGTCTGCTTTTGCGCCTACCCCTGCAATAAATGTAACTTATCCCGATCAGACAGTATGGTCGGTGTTCCACGCAGCAAAGGCTGCTTGGCGTGTATTCAGCGGCGGGTTAAAGTAGGAAATCTCCAGTCATACATAAATCTTTTTTTTTTCAAGGTAACACTCTAATCCAGAGACCAGTGCGATGAAACTCAGCCATCATGTCAATACTGCGAGAGAAGAGGGGACGTATGTCCTGGCTACACTAGGAACCGGAAGTTCTACCATTTCTCGGCAAGCAGTCAGCACGAGCCCTCAAGAAACACATCCCCCCTGACACAATCATCAACATCAAGTATAGCATTGGTCACCGCAAAAGAAGCGCAGCAATACGCCACGATTCCCCGTGCGTCTATGGATGGGGTTTTAATGCCGGGATTGATGTCCAAGGCGCTAGACCGACAATGCAGGAACGGCTTTTGTGATTTCGTGGACACGGTATTTCCGAACATTTATTACAGCTACAGCACTCGTGTGGAACTTCCTTGGTTCGAGATTGCTCAGTATGACCGAGGCGCGGGGATTGCAATGGAGTGGGGGTTTCGCAGCCTTGGGAGCTTGCAGCTAGGCAGAGTAAATGGCAATCAACGACAGATTCTTGCCAGTCAGGAAATGTACGGCCGTGGACTGCGCTATCTTGTTCAGGCTGTCAGGAATCCTGCTACAGTTGGCACGGATGATACCCTTGGAGCCGCAATCCTGTTAGGCATTTATGAGTTGATGAATGCAACAGAGGAAAACTCGTGGCTGCTGCATTCACGTGGGATATCTCATCTATTGCGCCTAAGGGGTGCGAAGAGGCATGCGAGTGGGTATGGCCGCACTCTGCTCTTATCTTTTCGAGGGCTTCTAGTTTACGAGGCCTTCACTCGGGGAGAGGCATGTTTCCTGGAAAGCGAGGAATGGAGAGCAACACTTCCGGAGACCCTAGAAGATGAGAAACGGCGGGGCAAAAGCTGTGGTCTGGGTCAGCTCATGGATTATGCATTCAATGAGATAGCTCAGTGCCCGGGGTTTCTTGCCAAGACCAAGACTCTCGTCACCTCCTCGCCAACTACCAATGCGGAGAGAGACGATTTGATGGCTGCAATCAATAGCAGCCGAGAGGTCCTGGGTGATGTGGAAATCCAAATACTGGCTGGGATTAAGGCTGATCAAGAAGGGAATAAGAAAGAGTCTCGGGCTTTCTTTGGATTAATTCCCCATTCCATCAAAAATGCATCGGTGAAATTCACACTCGAGGGTGTTCATTCAGCCATCGCACTTCTTCAACAGTTGTCAGTTGTGCTAGTGTCCGATCGGAGTCGACAAGAAGCAGTGACACCGTGGCTGAAACTCGGTCCGTGTAAGAAGGACTGGAAGGCCATTAAAACCGCTGGTGAAATTGCTCGGGCCCAGAAAGATACTCGACTACACCCAATAGGTCCACAGCAACAAGGCAGTCCGAGTGTCTGGCATGACCGGATTGCCTTGGCAATGGGGATGCCAGAAAAGGTTTGACCAATCCACGCTCAGGATGGGCTATTGATCTAGCCTTGATCCGACCTGAGTTTCTGCGCCTGTGAGCCATAGTCGGAATTTGTTTCTTTCATTGCACATATTTGCTTCATGACTGTGCCGAAGTGTTATTCAAGTGGCGTTCCGAGGTCTAAGCGCCGCATCTGTCGATCTTTTGTGCAAATGACTTGTAAAGGACACGAAAATGGTCAAATTTATCCTGAACGGTCAAAGGACTGAAAGCGACCATACTGTCCTGAGAGACTGGGCAGTCACGGGGATGCGGTCATATACGGCAATCAACCCTAGACCACATTTCAGGTCGACGGGAACTGACTGACATTATCACAGCCCACATGGGGCTGGGGGTCCACTTTTCAAAGAAATTGGAGAGAGAGGAAAAGAAAAGAATGTTCGACGAAAATGCTGGTGTTTCAAATCCGGCGATCGCCGGAATAAGAGGGGCTGTGACATCGCAGTGAAGTAATGCATTGCGAATACCCCGTACTCCGTACTCCTTGGATTTTGTGCATCGCAAAAGATTATTTTATTCAACTGCCCCACTGGATTGGATTTGATTCTCCAATTATATTAACTGCGTTGCCTGTACTCCGTACTCCAGCCTTCCGTGTCTTACACTCTCCACGGTCTGCAAGTAATAGTCTGGGCAGTACTCCGAACTTCGGGTTTTGTACGGAGAGTATATGTATTGCGTATTCAGCTTAAACTTCAAAAACAGGCATCTGGATATTGTGTACGGAGTACGGAGTAAGACATTTGTGTTGGTTTTCTATTTCATGCCCTTCTTGTTATGCTGACCATGACGAAGTATACAGTCCTGGAATATTCTTTGCTGGCAGAATTTTAGCTAACACGGCCCTGTGCAAAGAAAACCATGCCAAAACTCCATCGCACAGTTCATGGTAAGGTGTGATCGATCGTTCCTGGAGGAAGAATGCTGGGGCGCTCCCGTCACATTTTCGAAACCGACGATCGTCTCCACCCAGGGGAGGCAAGTCGTCACACAATGGGGTACCTCCATACGGAGTATGCACGATATACATGTGATTGATGTACAACCCCATCTTGGCACATCTTTCTAATGTATGATTTGCTCGAAAACGCAACGCAACACGGGTACCTGGGTGTCTTTGTGGGTGCCTGGAGCGGCCCAAGATTCCAGCCACTGGTGCTTGCGTGGCCCCTGAAGTGGCCATTCATTCGGATTGGCCACGATAAATGCTAAGCATTCTGTTGGACACTAATAGAAGCTTGGCTGGCCATTGGGAGTGCTCCGGGTGGACCATCAACGTCATGCGAGACTGGATTGTCGCGACAACCCGCCTACAGTTACCGATCAGGATCGGCCCAATCATCATCCAACTAATCCACAGGTCTCGCCACGGCTTGCGTGCTCTCGATTTTTGATGTTTCGAGAAAGGCCGTCTATTCTTAGTCCAAAGCCCGAAACAAAAAAAAAAAAAGAAATGGGTGTGGGATATATATACATATATATAGGATCAAATTCGCCTTCCGGTTGGTGATGAGATTGCTGGCCATACTATCAACTAAGCTCACCACACTACTTTGATATACTTTGTACACATTTTCAAATCAATTTCAATCAATATTCGTTTCGCATATTTCCAATAATGCCTTCGTCATTGACCTCTAGTGAGCGCTCCGGCTCGGTCAAGTCGCACCACAGCCCCAAGACTTCTCTTCAAAGCAAGGCCGACCCTAACATGGCCCTATATGAACAAGAACCTAGTACGTATCCCTGTAAAAATAATCCGCCTTGAGTCTACAACATCCACTGACAACAAGCAGCCGCTGTGAACCTCGAACGTGGATCTCGGGATACATTCTCACTCCAAAGCATCCAACACAAGGACCGGGAAGGAAAGCTCATCAGTAAGCCCCCGATCACAATCATTCTTGATGGGAACTGCATCCTAACCCAGTAATAGCCGATCCCGATCTCTCCAATCCAACACGCAGCAGACTCGAGCGCCCGCTCGACACTATCCGATCGTTCGATGCAGCCATCGATGCACATCGCAAACAGCAACGCATGTAAACGAGGGATCGAGACCAAATTGTTACACCAGAACGAAACGAAGGAACGCTTTTTAATGCCAATCTCAATTCGAACACGGGGGGTTGATGTATAATTATTGTGTGTATACTGGAGTCATGGAGATATCAAAACCCGATGTTATTGTGTTTTCCACCGTTTTATTTCTATCTAGGAAGCGTAGTATTTTTCATATGAAGATGAGCGAAGGTGGTAGGAGTTCTGTCGCTGACATAGGTGGTATTGTCATTGAACTAAGATGCATGTAAATTCTTTTTGTAAACCATGAGGCTGCTGGAATTGCCCAGAGATATTTATGATGAATGCAGGTATCACCTTTTTGGTCATCGGGTTCTCTACAAACGAAAAATCATGAATACTACTTGGGTCAATCTTAAAAGAAAGCTATAGTTACATATATTAGGCTACGACATGAGGTCCCCACAAAATCCATAGTCGTGTATAAAGTACCATGCTGTTAAGAGAATTCCACCCGACTATAATCTTTCTAGCAATTTTCACACATGGCCATCCACAAGGTGCAGTTATTGAAACATCGGGCAAAGTCTGACATTGTAAACTTACATAGAAGAACGGAGTCGATTATCGGAGCCGGACTAAATAATTGCAGGTATGACCGATGGAATATAGAATCGGAGAAAAGCCGACATGATCTACATGTAGATCATTTCTAGAATAAGTAGCCCGAAGTATATAGTTAGTTAGCGATTCCTAAAGATACTTCTATAGAGACATCGTCAGGTTGTAAGTCATTATTATGCTGTTATCTTTCATATTCATATGGAGTACTCCGTTCCATTCAAACCTTTGTCATAGTTAATTCTGCAAATGATAAAAAGAACAATGACATACATAAATACTTATGCAAAGGCATTATCAGTTGATCAACCATGTAGAGAAATCATCTCCGACGTGATCAAACGTGGGCAGTTTTCTTTGGTTATCTTCTCCTACCAAGCAATGCCGCAGACAGACTAGAACCTCAAATTGCCTAGCGCCAAATAAAATTAGATCTTTTCAACAGGAAAAAAAAGATTCGTGAAGGAGAAAAAAAAGCCAAGTGCCGGCGCTATTCGAAGTAGCCCCACCACCCACCGCGTCAGCCAGATATTCTGGATTTTTTTTTTCACTTCTGTTCGTTTGGGAATTATTCTTCTATTCTTACTGTATGACTTTTGATAGCTGCTTATTCTGACGAGGGACTGTAGAATTGTATATCTATATATTTGTGTAGGTCGACACAGAACTGCAGAATATGTAAAAGCCAAGTCAAGTTAACTGGGTGGGGTCCCGTTCATCTTTCTATTATTATTGGCTCGGACCACATGAACTGATTTGTTTTAGAGCCCTAATAATGCTTTATTCTTCAGGGAGAGGGACTTATCTCCGGCTTAAATTGACATGGCGCTAGTGGCCCAAACCTATTGAACAATGGCTTCCAGGCACTTGACCATATTAGTCCCGTTAGCTCGGCTGTACGCGTCCTTTTTGTAATTTCAGGCAAACAGAATTGGACTATCTGACACTATTAATATCACTATTAATGGATATGAAGTCCATGGACCCCCCATTTTTGACTTTATTTCCCTCATTTCGCTGTTCACTCGTTTGACTTCTCCCTCCGTGTCCTTTGAATCCAATTATCCCAACTATATACACTCGCTATAGTTCTTTGCGGTATCGCATTTGCAAAAAAACCAATCTTCACCATGAAGTTCTCCTTGGTGGCACTGGCAACCCTGGCTGGTGTTGCTGTTGCCGATTTGGATCCCATCGTCATCAAGGTACAGCCTCTATACATGTATAGAAATCATAATATATTCCAGTACTAAGTCTCGCAACAGGGCTCCAAGTTCTTCTATTCCAGCAATAACACTCAGTTGTAAGTCCAAATATGCCGATGTCTCTTGAATTCAGTGACTGACAAGAACAGCTTTATGCGTGGAGTTGCCTATCAAAGTAGGTCGTTCAGGGCATCAATTCAAAATCTCGACTAATCCTTTTCACAGAGGAAAGTACGAGTAGCAGTGGCTACACTGACCCTCTGGCCGATGCCACCGCGTGTGCGCGTGATGTTCCTATCATGGCGGAGCTGCGCACCAACGTCATCCGTACCTATGCCATCAATGCCTCTGCTGACCACTCGGCGTGTATGAAGCTCTTGTCTGCCGCCGGTATTTACGTAATCTCCGATTTGTCGGACCCCAATCAATCGATCGATCGAAGCGATCCTTCGTGGGAAACCGATCTCTTTGCCCGATACACCAGTGTTATCGATGAACTTGCCCAGTACAACAACACTATTGGTTTCTTTGCTGGAAATGAAGTCTCCAACACCGTTTCTACTTCCGACGCTAGCGCTTTCGTCAAGGCTGCTGTTCGTGATACCAAGAAGTATATCAAGAAGAAGGGCTACCGCTCTATGGGTGTTGGATATGCTACCGCCGATGTGTCCGCTATCCGTGCAGACATGGCCGACTACTTCAACTGTGGAGACTCCGATGACACAATTGACTTCTGGGGATACAATATTTACTCGTGGTGTGGTAATTCCACCTACGCTGAATCCAAATACCAGGCTCGCACCGAAGAGTTCGCTAACTATTCCGTCCCTGTCTTCTTCGCCGAGTACGGTTGCAACGAGGTCACGCCCCGCGAGTTCACCGAGGTGAAGGCCTTGTATGGCGATACTATGGCTGAAGTCTGGTCCGGTGGTATTGTGTATATGTATTTCCAGGAGGCCAACAACTACGGTAAGAAGACTGTTCCTTTCACACATATAGGCGAAGGTAACTGATTAGAGTCGCAGGTCTGGTTTCTGTCGTCGATAGCACTAGTGTCAGCACTATGGCCGACTTCAAATATTATTCTAGCGAGATCGCCAGCGCCAACCCTACTGGCGTCAACAAGGCCTCCTACACTCCCACCAACACTGCCCTGCGAAGCTGCCCTACCGTCGGATCTGGGTGGGCCGCCGAACCCTCCCCTCTGCCCCCTATCGCCGATATTGATCTGTGCGACTGCATGTATGATGCTTCCGCCTGCGTTGTCGCCGGATCCCTCTCCTCCACGAAGTACGCCAAGCTGTTCAGCACCGTCTGCGGCTACACCGACTGCAGCGGACTGACAGCCAATGCTACCACCGGCGAGTACGGTGCTTACAGCATGTGCACAACCAAGCAGCAACTTGCCTTTGCTCTGAACAAGTACTACGTTGAGCAGAACCGTGCTGCTGATGCTTGCAGCTTCGACGGATCTGCGACTGTCAAGGCTGTTACCAAGGCTACTGGCACTTGCTCTACGCAGATGAAGGAGGCAGGAACTGCAGGAACTGGAACCATTACTACCGAGAATACTGCCACCGGTGGCTCTAGCTCTGCTTCCTCAACGGCCACATCGACAACGTCTAGCAGCGGTGCCATCAGCTTACACTCCAGCTCATCTTTCGGCTCTTTCCAAGTGGCTGTTTACATTGCCACTGCACTCCTGGCGGGTGTTGGAATGATCACTCTGTAATTGAGTTGATCTTGGTTCATGTATATTCTTCGCATTTGGACCGCGCGTCTAGTTTCCCTTCTTATTGCGTCACTTTTGAACATAAGCCTTCAGCAAGGCATGGTACGACATAGCTAGTAAACGGCCCTGTGCGAAAATTTGCTTGATTAATATTATTTCTGAAAGAAGTGGATATTTTATCACTTTTCATCAATTTCCCTTGTTTCTATTCATACGTCATTCCCATCCTCAAATATGTTGCACAGCAACTCAATGTATTAATTTTGAGACTTCTAAGGCAGGGTGGAGGTGCTTCATTCTGACCGCTGCAACTATTATACCATCGACCATTCTATTCACGACGTCACAGGAGCAATCTGTCTCTTTCCTCTCATCCACTTTTTTCGCAGGTGACCTATCCTAAATTTCCTTGCACATAAACTCACTGACGAGCTGGTCAGATGAACTGCACTAAGATCATTCTGTAGAATTTTCTATTTCGATTGGTGGTTCGTGATCCGAGGTGATAGCTGGTGAAATATATCTTTGGATATCCGACATTTAGTAAAAGGGAAAGTAGCTTAAAGAAGCCTAAAGAGGATTCTTCATTACTATTTATGACCCATGAGATCCAATTGCTACATAGTTCTCCATAATTAACAATTATATCGATGTATACTCATGTAATCCTGTATCTTATCATTGATGGGTTATCATAATAGTGCACTACTGCACAGTCATGGACAGATTCATCCAACATATTATTTCATGTTGTAAACCGTGTCGCCAATGATCATCCATCTCTTCCAGTCCAGGATGGCAAAGCAGACCACCCAATCCCTTTGATCTCACTAACAGAAACATAATTTCTCTCTATTGTTATTTACCTCTCTCCTGTCACCCTCTAAGCATCCCAAAACAACGTATGAATCCGCTCACTGTTTCTTTTTTTTAACAGAATTAACGTCTGTTTTGTTTAGACATGTTAGGGAGCCATCGAGCCCAAAGCTAGTTGATAATCAAAGATTATGTATATTATTGCTGAAGTACTTATCTATATCCTCCAAATGAATCGCCCCTAGACTCTTGCCAGGTCATATCCTGTTGAACTCGGATGGCATTCAATGGTACCTCATCCTCAGACCCATCGTCGGCATGAGACACATCCAGATGTACTTTCGTTTTATTACGCGGCTCATTGGCTGGTCGTAGGGCAGAATTATCCAACTCATCACCCTTAGAACGGTCGACATCTGTCGTTCGTGTTTTATGGGTGCCAGACTGGCTGGAGAATTTGGATGAAACCATCACGAACAACGGACGCAGGTCGGCATGCAGGCGGAGATAATACCCGTTGAGGACTAACAATACACCAGGTGCAAGAATTTCCGAGTGTCCAGGCAATATCCGTTGGGTTGAACTCAAAAAGGGTAATGAAGCGATAGACACTGGTGAAGATAACGTTATATAGAAGAATCTAGTCAGACTACTGTCACAAACCAGTAGCGATATGTAGGAAAGGGGTACAGGATTGGGCGCAGCAGATCTCGCGAGTGTAAAGTGATGATGGGACAGGCTACAATGATGGAGATGCAGTTACCAATGATGGATTCTATTGGTTATGATGACTCACTAAAGGGGAAAGGAGAGAGCAGGGGACGATGGGAGATAGCAATCATGGAGGTCCTGCGGCATACAGGGTCACGTGCCATATCACGTGACCACTGGATCCAACATCAAGGAGCGCCAATTTGAGAACAAAAGGAGGGTGCCAAAAGAAAAAGGCTTATAGCCAATAAAAGGAATGACAGCTGGCCGAGCCTGGTAGTGGCCTTTCTCAAAATGGCCATGATGAAGACTACTGACAAAGAGGTACAGGTCAACATCGACCTTTAATCAGTTTTATAGCCCTCCCCCTGAGCTGTAGGGCCAAAAAGAGAAAAGAAAAGACCCCTACTATGACCACAAGATCAAACTGCTCTATGTGGAATGGAGTTTGGAACCCTGATGGACTTGAAATGAGATGAGGTCGCATCTGCGGGAGCAACTCTGCTGATCTCGCCCCAAACATACCTATATACCAACTCTGGGCATGTATTTACGTCCTCATTCACTGAATATTGACACAGCAAAAGGCGGTAGCTCGCGGGTTTTTCTTGGGCGTCCTAATTGCGGGCCGGCCCAAGATGATCCCTTCTTTTGCGCGATTTATTTGTATTCCGATTTTGCCGTAGGTATGAAACCGGATATGAAACAGAAAGGGGTGACAAGAAAAGGTGTGGCCTGTTCGAAGTGGTTGCCTTGATCGCGTCCTAGAATTTGCATAAGCCAGTGTAAGTATACGGGTATATATGACGGAACCTCGCCCTTATAAGAGTTGATAGACGAAGCCGTTCCTTCTTCCCCACCCCTTTTTTCCCCCGCATATTAGCCACGGCATCTTAACCTTAGTCGCTATTAGCATGTCTACTTACTGATGTTCTTAGATAGGTCTTTGTCGGCAGCAATAATAGTACAACTCCTATGACTCTACCCGCTACTAGTAAAATATCCAAGAGTTATAAGTACTTATGTTCATAATACAAATGTTTTCTATGCTAATAAATACTAGTGTAACCTTTGACACTCATATAACCTATGATCCCAGCCTACTTAGGGTGACCTACGATGGTTACTTTCCGACTACGGGCGACTTAACTTAGATTTGCGCCCAGTCATATTTTAAGGCTCTTAGTATTGAATGCCCTCTAGAAACGTGCCTGCTCAAAACAAGATATATCGATTATCTTAGGGGAATATTATCTTACGACTTTCACCCTAGAGACCTTACTCTAGACTTATAACTTTACTTATCATTAAGAGGCGACTACTAACGACTTTTACGTCCCTATCTTTGATTTATGGGCTGATAGAAACGCCTAACCAAAGTTGCTCCGACTATATACTAGGAATTTACTAGGAACAGCCGAGTTTTTCTTTAGATTATGATGAAGATTAAGCGTCCAGTTTCTCATCCGTGACTTCGTCCTACAGTATAAGCAACTTCCTGGTTACTTTGCGTACTCCTACCACCGTCCATCAGAACATCACGGTAATACCCACTTCGACCGCCGCTAGGGCATTGAAGTCCTATAGCAGTTCCTATACGATTTAGGAAAGTAATGACTGTCATTCTATTAGTCGTTCGCAGCAGGTCTCTACTATAGTAATATTATACTTTAATAACCTCGAAACCTCGAAGCGGGCTACGCCAACTTTTCTACCATAGGTACGAACCTATATATGCCTTATAGATGTAGCGCCTATACTATCAAGCTAGACGATACATGCTACGGCATTATAGATACCTACAATAGCACATTCACTATATCCCAATTAATATCCTAGAACATCGACATCAACAATAGCTACGACATTCTCGAAATGCTTTCAGGCAACTAGATATATATCCGCTTCCCTAGCAATATAAGTGCCCCTACCGTTTTAGGGGCCTGTACTAAATAGTCAATACGAACATTTTCCTACTATACCCTAGATTTTATAGCTCGAGACGACAGCTGCTATACGACTACCTACGTAACCTTGCCGCCATAGACCTGGAGCCCTATCAATACCAAAACAAATACCCGTGCCGGGGCCTTAAGCTCTGAATAGAGCTTCTCTTACTCAATTCCTATGACTCCCGTCCCGAGATTCAGCAATTACTCCCCTTCCTAATACTCGGACCTAACTCCACAGCCGTTCTAAAAGGGCATAGTATCAGGTTGCACGAATTTCTAGATGGCTGAGGGTAAGAGTCCCTTGAGATCTAGATATAAAATTTGACTTTACCTAATAATATCTCACAGCTAATGACTCTTATATCGACCTTACTTAGAGGTTAGGTATCCCAGTTGAAAGCATATACGCCTAGAGCCCAGCTTTAAAGGGTGACTGTTCCGGCCTATAGGAGATTTTCCTTATATTCCTTTCCCCAGAATCGTCACTAACATTTGGCGATAGTCAAGAGGGTAAGAATAATTGTATAAAGCGAGACGAAACCAGCATTTCTACCTCTCCCACTATAAATAGCAGTAGCACTTCTACCACTTAAAGTAACACTAGCGGATCCCCGGGTCCAACCCAGACTAGAATCCCTGATAACTACAACAAATGGGTGATACAGAAGGACAATAACTATTATCATGATCTAGCGGATCAAGTAGGAATTTCCCTAGATTATCTCTATAACATAAACCCCGTCCTTAACACGAAGAAGGGCGATGGTGTGATCGATTGAAGCTGGGGCGAGCAGCTTGGAATTATGAGATAAGCTGACCGATGTTCGCTAAGCTGCTACTCATGTATCCCCTCTGAAATAAGAAGAATCAATTCATACCTCTGAATTACAACAGTTACCGTCCCGGTATAGGACGGCGTGGTAGCCAATGTGGGTGGCGGCTGACGTCCAAAGTAGTTAACATTGGTGTGAATGCTTGTGTCTAGGAGCGGCGGTAGGATTTTACCGGATGTAGTGAGACGTAAGGATTTTCGACGTTGTGGATGGATGATGGTGTGTTGATTGATGTGCCGTGGGGCTAGGTGAGTGCCGAGCGGTAAAGCTGAGTAATCTTGAACATCCTGGTCACTGAGTTTATGTCTAAATCGTTGACCTTCTCATGGGACTGGCTAGGCTCGTCAGCCTATCATCGGACAAACGTGGAGAACTATCACCGAAACTTTGGAACCTTGTCCAGTCTTATAGATGAGGAAAAGCTAGTTCCAAACCTCACCAAACGTCTGAAGATGAACCTCGCTAGACTAAAGCAAGACCACCAGCTGCTGGAGTCTGGTACCACTGTTGGTAAACTTGCTTTAGGGCTGAACGAGCCGGGCGAAAGTGCTCCATTCACTTAAAGTTGATTGCAGCTGTTGAAGAAGGTTTCGCAGAGGACGATTGCTACCATCATATATGATTAGGTTCAAGATTTTGTTTGAGCTTCGCTAGAAATCAAATTGCTGGGCTGACCGAGCCCCAGTAAGACCTCGAAAAAATGCGCATGTATGCTACTTTACGTGCCAGAAATCTCCAGCAATCTGCTTGGCTTATAGAGAAATCGCGTGATTAATTATCTTATATCATTGTTGGGTAGTATAATTCAACCTCGTGTTGAGTAATCACCAGTTCCATATCCGAGGTACGTCATGCATTTAGAGTTTCCGACAAGACCATCTCCCACAGCACACGAAAATGACCGCCAGCTGGCCGGCATAATAAAAAGCTCAAATCCTAGACTTAGGCTGATTACTGAGCATCAGTAATCCGGTTATTCTAGTGCCATCAGAACCGACCGAGGCTCGTAGAAGAAAGCGGAAGGCAATGTTATTTTAGGGTATGTCCACGCGCGGACCTGGTGGTACAATATCGTCTCTGCTAATTTATCATCGCTCTCTAATAAATACTTTAGCCATTGCCGTTTCTCGACTAAACCCGAAATTGTTGCTCTACCTTTGTTTCATTGTTTGCTCGGGCGTGGGGATTTTCTTCCCGTCACCTGGATTTCTCGTATCTCAACATATGATATTCCTGCCGTGCATAGTACTCGCAGCGCAATCTCAATATCTCCGCAACAATGGTCCTCGCCCGTGAAAACATTGAGTTCGGAACTTGCGACGGCACTGTCCTCCGGGGCTGGTTCTATCCTCAAGCTGAAAAGTCGGCCTGCGTGATTATGACACACGGGGTACGCGATCCACAATAAGATACGATTTTTCCTAAGAAACTGGCTGATTTTGATCTTTTGCGGTCACTAGCTGGGTGGTGTCCGTCACTATTGGCTCCCTGATTTTGCGGATCGCTTTCAGCAAGCTGGGTATAATGTACTCCTCTATGATAATCGGAACTGGGGTGACAGCGATGGACTGCCGCGACAAGAATCAAACCCAACCCATCAACAAGCCGACTACTACGATGCATTCAATTTCGCATCAACTTTCCCCAGTGTGGATTATTCTCGCATAGTGTATTGGGGTACGAGTTTTTCGGGTGGAAATGTATTATACGCGGCCGCTGTGGACAAACGTATCAAAGCCGCCATAGTGCAGTGCCCTGCGGTTTCAGGAGAGACACGGTCCTTGGCCTTCAAAGACCGCATCCCAGCTATCCTGAAAGAACGCACTCATATCTCTGCAGGATCAGAGCCAGAAAGGGTTCCGCTTATTGCGGAAAACCTTGAAGCGGCTCAAGCAGGGACCACAAATGCCATGTTTCCGGGTGTCCATGCTTACGAGCAGGTGCGAGGTTCGTACGACTGCGGTGGACGCTGGGAAAATTCTCTTACGGTCCAGACGCAACTCAATATGCTTGCGTTCGAAGGGCAGGCTATGGTGCATCGTATCTCGCCAACTCCGCTCCTGATGGTTGTTCCGGGAAATGATATACTGGTCACTACGGCATCTCAACTGGCCACTTACGAAAAAGCTAGAGAGCCAAAGCAGCTTCTCCATATTGAGGATGCAGGGCATTTTGACATTTACGCCGGTGATTGGTTTGAAAAGAATATCAAAGGACAACTAGAATTCTTAGAGAGATGGGTTAGTCCTTGATACAGAGAAGCTGCGAAAAATCTGGATTTGTGTCATGAGGATTCATATGGAAGTAGCAATGATAATTGGAATTCCTGTGATTTAACCATGTTATTTTTAATGCGTATATTACACACCCATTTGGTTGAAATTCTACTTTCACTACGGTTTCACTCCAAAAGACATTTAGACAGCCCACCTAATCGTTTCTGATTATCTTTCTTGTTTGTTATGTTCGGGAATAATTTATCGCAGTATACCCGCAATATCTGGCTGCCTGGGAATAATACAGGAGAGCCTACTGTCAGCATTCCGCTCAGCTGGATCTCTCGTAACTGCCCTGCAGACCTCGCCGATGATGTGGATGAATTGAATTTATAGGAGGGCTGTCTGTACTTGGATACAACTTTACTCGCGCAATATATCTCTGAGGCTGTTGTTTCCCCAAAGCAAAATTGTTCCACAGAGAGAATAAGCATCAACTAGTAAGTAGATACAGTCGATCTTGGCACAACAGTGTCACAAATGGTCAGTTAACGCATCGAAAAGACACAAAGTACCTACTTTCCGACCGCGAGGCTTAGATTATGGACTCACCACCGTATTTCGCAAGCAAACAAGGTGGATCTGTTGTCTACAACATGGAGGAAGAGGAGCGAAAAGACTCATCCTTTGTATATACACAACAACAACTATTAAAGTCCATTCTTAGACTTTGAAGGTGGATTTTGGGAATAGATGGTTATAGCTTAGCCTAAGACAGCAATTCAACAGTTTATGTTTTTAATTTTATATACTTCATGTTTTCGACTACCTAATCTGTAAGTCATGAATTTTTGAAACTTACTAGAGGAACTATCAACCCATTAATATGTGCGATACCACCTTGACTTACAGTAGGAAGTTGATGACCTCTGTGGAAATCTAATTTAAATTACACCGTTTTAATTTATTAACAAAAGCCATGAAAGTAACATAGTTATTTGACCAAAGAAATAAAGTTGGCTTGCAGCTTCGGTATGCTATGGTTAATGCTATTGGCTAGTAAATCAGACTTGACAATCCAATCACCTCGGAGAAATCAGAAATGAATATTCTAGTGGAATGTGTCTTACTGCAGATACAGCTCTTCTCTTCACTAAATGTGCCGACAACATACTCCTATTTCACCTGACCTTTGTTTCCATTATTTGGTGTCCATTCGTTCCCTACCCTTGGATCTCACTGGCCTCACCTTGAATGTCAACAATAACCGCCCACCGTAACAGTTCCAGCCATGCGAGTGCCTATACGGAAATACAAATACCTAACCCTTCCAAATGCGAAAAAGAAACAAAGTAGAGAAACGTCCAGGTGTGAAAGAGGCACGCTTGGGAGTGTTCTTGGGCGGAGTAAACTGCAGTTCAGGAAGATTGATGTCCATCGTGGATTTGGAAGAATAGAGGTTCTCTTTACGCCGTCCAAATTGAAGCCGATGAAAATGAAAAGTGCGCCGAAGTTCGAGGTCTTGAAAACCTGAAGACTTCAGCGTGGCTTTGGACCCGCAAATGTATGTAGTGGGAGATTCTACATTAGTGGTTATCTTTCAGACGGCTATCATTTTATTGATTACATAAATATATGATCCCTGTTGAGATAGGTATGTTGTATTGAGTTTTGTTAACTATCTTGTTGGAGGGGCTCTTCATCTATTTATCCGTCTCTTGATGATCCCCACCTCATGTTTTGACCACCGTGATACTCAACACAAATTATTTTCGAATTCGAATAGCCCGTTCGAGATTCTTTTCGATTTCGAATAAAGAAAATCCTTATTCGAATCCACCTCTACTTCTTACCAATCAAGGACTAGTTTATTAATCATAATGATTTTTGATCACTGGCCTCGGCCCAGGAGAAAGTATAACGAGGTCTCGGGGGTTTTTGGGGCCAGCGGCTTAGTGACCACATTTTGCTTAAAGGCGTTGCTTTCTCGATTCAAAATCTGAATCTGGAACCGTAGAAATCTTCATAATCCAGAAAGAAACCCTCGGAATCCATGCGCAATGGAACCACCTCTTTCGCCGACATGGCTTCGCGTATGTGTTTCTAGTTCCCGTGCTGCCAAGTCTATTCTGATTGTCACACAGATTGAGCAAGCCATTGGCAAGAGGCCACAGTTCACCGGAGATGCACTGTCTATGAGACAGCAATATAAAGCATTTGCAGACCAAGCCAACAGTTCCTGTACGAAGTCCGCAAATCTCAGTGTTGGTAAGTGATGACATGTGAGACAGTTTTCGGTGGTGATTTCAGTACTGATGAAACGATAATACACACAGAAGATATAAGTATCTCGCCTCATCTGGCAGCTAGGGTGTATCACCCTGTTAAGTCGGAAGGAAGCCAGCCACTGCCCGTCGGCGTTTATTTTCACGGTGGTGGATGGTGCTGTGGTGACTTGGACACGGAAGACCCTTTCTGTCAACTCATTGCCGAACATTTGCCTTGTATCATTGTCTCAGTAGAGTATCGATTGGCACCTGAACACAAAAGCCCAACTCAGCTTGAAGACGCTCTTGAGGGCTGGAGCTGGGTAACTAAAATCCCCCTTTTGCTCTATAATCTATGAGGGCTTGTTTTAATCATGCTGATAAATATCAGGCGTTCAGAAATGCTTCGAAGCTGAACGGGGATAGCCAAAGATACTTCGTCGTTGGCCAAAGTGCTGGAGGCCACCTCGCTCTTGCTCTGGCAAACAAGCTTGTGAGCTTGGATCGCCAGGGTGAGGTCTGTGGTATAGCTGCTCTCGTACCAATTGTTGCTCATCCTGTGCATATTCCCACTGAGTATGTTGATAAGTATCGATCATTCAACGATTGCGCAAACGCACCGATGAATACAGCCCATGCTATGAACGAGTTCTTTGGTTTGTTCTTATTCTGCGAATTTTGTCGAGTTCGATGAAAACTGACCCACCGTACAGATTCAGTAGGAGCCAGCCCTCAGGACCCAGATTTCTTCATAATAAACTGCAGTTATTTGAACAGGTTTCCTGCAACCTATTTAGCCGTTTGTGATGTCGATCCGATTCGTGATGACGGTTTAATCATTCATGACGTTTTAAATAAGGCCGGGTAAGTCTTGGCCCCTCTGACCCCTACTCTGATAGTTGGCTTATAACTTATATGAGGCAACTATAGTGTTCCAACAAAGATCAACCATTATGCTGGACTACCGCACGTTTTCTGGGCGTTGGATTGTCCCGCGCCAAGTGGGAACTTTTTGGGTGATGTGCTCGATGGCATTAACTTTGCAATCAATGCGTAGGGTTTAGCCCATAGGGATAATATGGCTCAGGATAGTAGGGAGTTCATGGTTGGCGTCCTCTGGCTGCCTCTCAGTCAGGCATAATTTTCGTACCCTTAAAGCTCAGCCGCAGATTTAGTCACATACCTCCAAAAGATCTTAAAGTCGTAGTCCTTGCTAGAAATCGTTAATATTTAGTCAAAAATGAAATTGGGACTTTTTATCCGAACTAGTATGGATTTGTGCCAACGTCGCCGGGTTCGGCTGCCCCTTTGATCAGGGTTTGGTAAATCCCAATTCAATTTGGTGCTGACGGTTTTGCTAAACTGGCAACGCACTAGCGTCTGATGTTCCGGCTTAGCGGTTCCCGAGTAGTTTGACGGTACACCCTGATCAGTTGCCCTTGACCGCCTGCCAGCCTCGACCCTTCCAGTATCGGTTGTGACGGTTATGAGGAGGCTGTTTCTGGCTCCCTTTCCTTGATGTTTTCCGCTGGCGGCCCGGGCGTGCCCAGGTCCTTGTTGTGCACGTGACTCGGAGCTAGTATCGTTTTTGATCGCGTGTACTGTACGTAATCAGGACCGAATAGGATCGACCAATGAGGGGCCTCTCGTCTGTGTCACAGTTTGATTTCCTATCTAAGTTTTCGTGTGTGCAATTGGGTAGGCAGCTAGGAAATCTAGTTTGTCGATATGGTTGATCCCTACCCGTATCTCCCGATCCGCTAGCTGAATCTTGCTTGGATTTCTTGCGAATTGGCGGCATGGTGGTTGGCAGAAAATAGACTTACGCGCAGAGACGCGAAAAACAAAGCGGGTGGTCCATTTGGGTGGCCCACTCGCATTGGAATTACGCTACCGTAAATCCCCCTCCACAAAGTATTATTAAGGCCCGCAGGTGCTCTTAGACAGAGAATCGAGGTCACAGTTGATTACGTATTCGAATAGGACGATGAGTGATCACCCCAAGCCGAGGTACGATTTTTGACTTCATTGGATGACAAATATATCACCGTTAGTTAACTAGTTAGTTTCCTCCGTCCGATCCTCAATTGATTATTGATCAACACCTGCCTTTTCCGAAATAGGCCCACACACTACCTCCATATGCTTTTGCCACCGGCAACCAAACCATGGAAAAAGACGACTGTCACGATAAAGCGATCTTCAATGAGTCCAATAGCTCTTGTCGTCGTCGGGCTATATCGGGTTGATTTGCCAGGATTCCAGAAGTCCTCGACTAACTGCCGAGCTGCTCTGACTAAGCGCATTCCCGCAATATTGGTAACTATGTTTCCATCTGATCACTCTGCCTTTCGCAAGCGCTTCTGTCACATACTGTCGACCTGATGTGGCCTTCTCACCCGAATTCTCTTTCCAACATGTCCTGCAACGTGCTTTTTCCCTCTCGCTCTAGTATATTCCTTGTGCTTATATTACACCTGCGAGCCGGTCTATATTGTCTAGCTTCCTAGCATGTCTCTGCACTAACATTCTTGCCTAGACTGCGGTAAGCTTATCGGAAAACGCCCTCTAAAAGTACTCCGTTGCGCGAATTGCTGCCACTGCCCGGCGGACAGCTGCTGTTGCGATTATTTAAGCCTTAGAATCATATTCTATGCCGGCGAGGATTAGAACCAAAGTACTTTGCAGGTCTGAGGGGTTGAGAGTGAGCCACACGGCGAGCATGCTGTTAGACGAGATGCGCCGACTCCAGGACCTTGAAAAGGATACCGTAGATAGTTGGACTACGAACATGACAATCTGAGCTGTCCGCTAACTTTCTCGCTCCGATTTTCGTTTCAGGGCCATAGCGTGCGATAGCGCGCGACACCAGTACTAATTATAGCCAACTTCTTGTGTTAGGATTTTCCCTTCCCCTTCCGGTTTAGCTCCTAGTCAGTCCCACAATAGGAACGCGGTATACGTCCAGACTCTCACATTATTAGTGTAAGGCGGTACGTAGAAGCGGTGAATTTAATATTTAGTGCTTCTGGGCATTTTTCCTTCTGCTCCACTATCGTCGATCGTAGCCACTGCCGAAATGGGCTTAGTCTGGGAGTGATTATAAATCGCGTGTACTCGTTTGACTCTCGCGACGGCAACGCAACTCTCGCCACCATCAATTGCGGAGAGCACACTGGCATCCGCCTCGAGTAAACATGCGGCATTCCAGAAGAAGTACCATGGTCAGTGCGAATGTTCCGTCTACAGAACGGACATCGAAGCGCACTACAAATGTACCCGTTTCCGAGGTAGGTTTGAGAAGTGCTCAGACAGCATGTATACTCGTGGCCGGCGGGATTCTGAAAGATTATAGCACCGAAGAACACAATTACGACTGGCACAGCAAGCCTATCGCTACCGCAAGGAGACAGTAACCCAGTCTTTGAAGCATCAAGTTGAACGTCTGCAGTCACAGATTCAGAACCTACGTCAGACGTTCCAAGCATACAACCTTGAAATAGAAAGATCTGGCGTGCTATCCTTTGATTCGACTCTCGAAGGAAATCTGCAACAATTACGAAAGCAGTTTCTTGCAATTTCTGCCACTGCGAGACCAAGTAAAGAGGACGGCAGTGCCTTTCAAACGAATGAAATTCTGTCAACTATGACCCAAGTGAGGAAACATGGGGAGCACTCGCAGCAGATAGAAGATGACCTTGAGTCAGCCACATCAAGGCTAGTCAATCGTGGCCTCCATCTAGCTCATCCGAAGTCGTCTTCTAATAGGGCCGACCGCGAAGAAAACAACACACGAGGCAAAACATTAGCCCAAAATTATTCATCCTTACCAACACCTGCCCTGGAAACTGTCAATCATTCAGAGCCACTGCCATGCGCTGTAGATGACAGTGCACTCAATATTCCGTGCCCCTCGTATCTCCTTTCTTCTTCCACTTCCCCCTTCCGCGAGACTTCTTTCGAACGCCGGTTGCATCGAGCCTGTTTGAACAATGGATATCACTTGTTGGTAGATCCAACTACCGATCCGGACAATATAAATAGGGTGTTCAGGCTCCCATTGACTCTGTCAACCCGAGATTCCATGATTCAACAGATGAAAGGTCTTCTTGAAGGTGGCTTAGATGAAGCCCCAGAGATATGGGAAATGCCTTTCTTCTTACTAGGGGGTGCGGGGACTCATTATCCTCGAAGGGATCACACAGGAAGACCTATCCTTCCTCCGAATGCCTTGCCGGTGAGTCAATTTATCGGTGCTTTTGTGCATCAAACAATAGAGCCACAACCCTTCCACAGCGACCATGACCTTCTGGCCGACCTTGGCCTCGATGGTGAGTGGCTTGATTCATATGACGTGGAAGGCTTTCTTAAGGAAAAGGGAATCTTCTTGAGTGCGGATACTACATTCTGCAGAGTTCCGGCACGCGCATTCTCAATGGAGCTCCGGCCTTCTGATATAGTAGGTGCCAATGCTCTACATGTCATGGAAATGGATGAATCAGTCCAGGGACATATGTATCCTCATAATGTAGATCGTATTGAACTACAGTCGAGAGGATGGAGATCAGACGTACAGGTATGTTTTTTTATTTTACCACCATTCACTAAGGTATGGACGACTGACTCATGTTGAAGTTCTCACCGGCACAGGATGTAGATCTACTTCGAAATTATTATTCCGATCCAAACGGGTCTTGGGTCCTAGATGTGGGATTATTCATTGATCGTATGCCCTCAGTGAAGCCAATTTGTCTGCTATTACCTACTGACAAGAACAGATCTCATTCAGTCTGGTATTTGCCTCGGTCGCTGCCCTGCGTTTCGCCGAGAAGACGTCGAGCATACATTCCGCCTGGCAGTGTGTAGAAACTTCTTGGATCCTTCGATGTGATGTATTCATATTCACGGAATTGAGCCTGTGCTTGTAGGCGCAGTTCAAGGCTGCTGCATGCCAACCGTTCTCCGGCTAGTTTGTGCTGACAGTTATTTCGGACCATTTATATCTGTATATTGTTTGTTACCAATGCTTTCCGCATGAGAACTGGTGGTACTTGGAATGGGGTTGTGACAGTTTGACGTTAGCCTAAGAAATTCATGACTCATTATATAATATTCTACCAAACACGACGTGTGATGACAACTGTACTAACTAATATAAAAGTTGCGAAAGTACCTACCGTTTGAAAATATAGTCCCTATGGTCAGGATGCGCATAAGTCTTAGTTACCGCTCTGCCATCACGATAGTCATCCAGCAGGTTGTTGACTTTCACCGCGTCAAGTCCCTCCATAACTTTGAGATCCAGTGGCTTCAGCTGGCCGTTATCGATCCCGCCTGGCAGCTCCGTCCAGAACTTGGCAGCCAGTTCTTGGTGTAGATCACTAGCTCCGAGAACTTGGTTCTTCTTGAAACTAGCGGTCTTTGTAGCTGTAATTGTAAGGTCAGCTTCTCCACGTACTAGTGTTGCTAAAAATCCTTTTACTATGGCTAATAGAAGCGAGAGTGCTAGCTACTGGCTGACACCCCCCGAGTAAGCACTACTAACCGTGTCAACGGCGTATAATAATCCATTGCTAACAATCGCACAGATCTGATCTTCTATATCTACTGCTTCCCGATCTATGATATTGGTAGTACCGAAGGCGTGGATTCATTGCCCCCCGTCGCTACGGACATTGGTTGCTATGATAATCTTCCCAAAGCTTACGAGATAAGAGAATTGAAGTGCAAATTTCCCGCTGTTGGAGCCTCCTCTAATATTGACAATTGCTTTATTGGCGTAGTCCACACCCTGGCCCAGGAACTTTGGTGGTAAATTCAATCCCGACTAACTGAATAGGGTGAATGAAACTTGCAATAGCATTGACAGGGAATGTCGCTGCCTGGTCAAAGCTAGTGTGGCTTGGTATGGTAGCAGCAATTTTACGTTAAGGATGCAGAAGTCCTGCAAGCCAGCTTAGCTAGGGGAACCCGACAAGATATTGGACTACCCAACAATGCTATCTCTAACAGAGAACCTTTGGACGTCTGGTCCAATCTTCTCGACAATACCGCTGATGTCGTTTGCTAGGATTGCGTGAGGCAAGTAATTCTCCATAGGTAGACCTCGATCCCGACCCTACCGGGGACTAGGATTTAGAAAAAATGTCAATTATTTTGACAACTCTTGTGCGTGGCATACCTTTTGGTCATGAGGGTTAAATATGGGCTGTTAGATTGTCTTTTACGCAAGTAAATGCATCGACAGATCATGCTTCCGGCTGTGATGGTTCTTATAAGTACTTAATTCCGTTTTGGCTCAGCGATCGGTCGCCTGTCTAGCACCATATATCAATTTCACCTTGTCTTTACAGAATGACTTTCCACCGAAAATGTTGGGTATCACTAAGTTAATTAGACCTTTGACCTCGGCCAAGCACCAAGTTGATCGCTCATCTTCGTAGTAAACCTTATTCCATCGTGAACAGCTACTTCGATTGGTCAAGGTCTAACAGGACCAGCCAGTAGTTGGGAGGGTATATTGCTGAGGTATATAGAAACAACTGCTTGGCGAGACGTTCCACTTCCAGCCTCGGCTGATCAGCTCATCGCTCATCGACGATCTCGCTGAGACAGTACCCACCTTCAGACTCTCTCCGATATGACCACTATGTACTATCGGATAGAACGATCATGGAAGGGGAAATTTAGAGCATCCTTCATTTTATTGCTTGAGAAGGGCAGATTATTCCGCCGCTTAATAGCGGCTTCAATTTGTAATCATAATTTATCAGCCAGTGCAATTATCCGCTCTCCATCTAGGGAAGGAAGGAAACGTGTTTACTTGGGAGGATCAGCTGTTAGATAAGCCGATAAACGGTATAAGTAGTAGCTCCAGGGCAGGAGTAGAATCGAAGGACCACTAGAATCTATTGATCGCCATAATCTCCCACAATAAACATGATCAAGTTCTGGCTCCAACTATTAGCTACCAGTTGTCTGCATGGCTTCACGCACGCAGCCCCTCTGGCGAACGATACGTTCGATCTGCGCCCTTTTCGTATTGATCTATCAGCTAGGGTACCTCGAATGCTCGATCAGATCCGAAGCACTCGGCTTCCTGAAAGATTTCCATATTCCGGTATTGACTCGTCCTTCGGGATCGACCTTGACGTTCTGAAAGCATTGCAAACAGAATGGGTGACTGATTTCAGCTGGGAATCAGAACAAGATTCAATGAATCAGTTTGTATAGTCTCCCTGATAAATAATCTTTTTTTCTGACATAATATGTAGGTTCGATCACTACACAATTCCAATTGAAGACTTAAGGGTCCACTTCGTTCACGAGAAGTCTGCTGCGCCGAACGCCATACCGCTGCTTTTAGTCCATGGCTGGCCAGGATCGTTTCTGGAATTTGCTCCCATCATCGACCAACTGACTAAAGAAGCAACGACCTTTACAGGAAAACCTGTTTCATTTGATGTTATTATACCTTCCCTTCCCGGCTTCGCTTTCTCGTCCCCTCCTCCGCTCAACTGGACGATCACAGACACAGCCCGTATATTCAACACACTGATGGTAGATGTCCTGGGATATAAAACTTACGCCATACATGGAACGGACTGGGGCAGTGCTATTTCTTATAATATGTACGACCAATTTAACGAAACCATCGGTGCAGCACATTTTGCATTCCTGCCCTTCTATCCGCAGACCCCAGATCAGCTTGCTGCTGGGAATATCACACTTTCCAAATTGGAGCTGGTCGAAGAGCAAAATGCAATGAATTGGGCTAAAACAGGTGACGGATATTTCATTGAACAAACTACGAAGGTAAGGAAGTATTCACACCGTTGTAGGGTTTAAGCATACTCTGACTCCCGCTTATTGCAGTCCAATACGGTCGGCCTGGCACTTCAGGATAATCCAATAGGGCAACTCGCTTGGCTTGGAGAGAAATTCATGAACTGTGAGTACACTTCGTTTACATCAACTGGCTGCCACTAATCTAATTGTGGCGAAGGGTCCGATCCAAATTCCGGAACAGGGCCATCCGTGCTCAACCGCAATGAGATACTCCGCAGCGTGTCTCTTTACTACCTCACTGAGAGTTTCGCCTCGTCTGTTTTAATATATTCTCAAAACCCCAACACCTGGAAAACAAAGTACAGCAAGGCGCATAACAACGCACCGCTTCTGTTTAGTTCATTCAAATATAATGTTGGCTTTTGGCCCGCAAGGCTCGTTTCGAAAGTTGGAAACTTGGTGCTCTATCGAAGTTAGTATACACGGACGGTCCTCTGAAGATTTGCACCTAACACGATGTATTAGACCACGATTTCGGAGGCCACTTTCCTGGCTTGGACAACCCTCCTGCTTTTGTGGAAGATCTTCGAGAGATTGGGTCTTTTTGGAATAGATGAGTGCTAGTGCTATTGGGCCCTCAATTAGCTCGAGAGTGCTTAGTACCAACCCCAGCGCCTTCAGTGGGCCAGCTTCTATTTCAAATCTCACCAAGAGATGTTGCCATTCTGGCCCCTTTTGTGTATCTATTGTACTCTTAGATTTTACACAGCTCTTTCCATCACCTTCAATTCAACAAGGTCCACACATACAGTAACTCGCTTCCACTTAAGCCCCTCTATTCGGCGTCAATTGTACGTCCTCTCCTCGTAATCCTCAACAATATCAACATCTAGCTGAATTCACTTCGTTTTGTCCTTCTTTATTACAGTACCACCACTATGGCCATACTGTTCTGCTTTATTGCTATGCCATAACCAGTTCCCAACAATGAGCTGGTTGCTCCCCATGTTTGTGGAGGTAGCAGCTAGAAAGAAAGCGGCCCAACCCCCTACGGTAGTTGGCTATGGGCTTTATTATCAATCTGTTTCGACTGCACCAAACGGCCATCGTGTCCTTATCTCTCCCGACTTCTTGCCACCTTGTAAATCCTTCGCATCCCTAAAGTCCCACTAAAACGTAAGACAAAAATATAGTGACGAAGCGAATTGGCTTAATACGTGGAGCACCGGAGGTATGTCAGTGAAAAGTGGAAGACTATCGAAGACAGACAATTTGACCCTATTACTTTAACGCGAAGGTCGCTTCATTTTTGTGATCATTGAAGGGTATACATTAAGCATGATGCGCAGCCCGCAATAGCGCCTTCCAACCCTCACTCAGTTGTTCAAAAACAGCTCAAGATGCTGTGCGTAGAGTTCCGGCTCCTGGAACAGATGCCCATGTCCCGAGTCAGGGAAAATGTGCAGCTGAGCTCTAGTGATCCTTTGCTGCAAGACCAAGCTGTTCGCCGTGTGTGTCATAATGTCTGCGTGGCCGTTTGTGATGAGGACTGGGGCGCTGATCTCGGCTAGTCGATCGAAATTACCAGTATCAATGGTGAACTTAAAAATTGCTGCCACCTGTGACTGAGGCCCGGCTCCAAAAAGGAATTCTTTTCTCTCTTCGTCTTTGGGTTGCCGCTCATGGATTCTCTTATACCATTCATGGCCAAGGCCTAGGCTGGTCTCTGAAGAATAGAAGAATAATCTCATCAAACTATCCTCGGTTGGTGCCTGATCACCGTTTGCGCCGGCGCATTCGAGGACATCTCGTGGGGGAAGAGCCACACCTTCTCCGACGGCGGATTGGGTGCCGGCCAGAACCAATTTGTTGACAAGTTGGGGATACTCAAAGCCAAGATATTGAACAATGCCACCACCCATAGAGAATCCAATAAAATCAGCCTTTCGCACACTAATTGCGGCGAGGAAGTCCACAACTACCGAAGCCATCCCCTCGATCGAGTCTGGTATGGTACCCTCACTATGGCCGATACCAAAGCTATCAAAGAGTATCACCTCGCGGTTTTTGGCAATGCTATTGAATAAAAGAGGATCAAGCACATCCATAGTTCCACCTAGGTGGTTGACGTAAACTAACGGCAGAGGGCTTCGTTTGCCGAACCGGCGATAAGCGATCTTGGTGCCGTTGACAGAGGCAAAGCTGGTTGGGACAGTTTGAAGGGACGTCATGTTTGCGGTTTCTTTGCAAAAGATGAGAGGTGACAGAAGTGGCCAATGAAATCAAGTAGTCCAGATTCGGTATAGAAATCCAAGGTATAATGAGGTAGTTTTTGCGAGGAGGATAGGGTAATTTATAGGACGTTCTCACCACCCGGAGGGGTACAAGTATGTAATACAGTCCGATGGTATACCATTTCGCTGCAACAATAATAATTCCCGATTAAGATGACATTATGATCCACATGAATTACCATACGGAACCAAAGAGAGAGTAGGTACTCGACGAATAACCCTGTCCTTGGTGGTAAGTACCGCCTTACTGTTTGAATTTATGGTACAGACCGAGGGCGCATATTGATTTTTTTTTAATCGTGTTTCTAGAGCCCGAAGGGCGGTTAGCGTAATCGTTATTCCTGGGCCGTTCGACGACTAACACCCGGTGATCGGAAGAGACTACCTCGGCTGCCTCTTTCTTTTGATTACAGCATAAAGAACCGTTTACCAAAACCTAGTGCATAATAGTTTTTCTGATCAGCATCCAATGATATGTGCTCCCTCCCAAGGACGTTTGGAATATGGTCTTTGAAGCCCAAAGACCGTGTTTCTCTAGAAACAGCAGGCCATTGCACTATAGCGGTAGCTAAAACTAAGATGGAATAATTTTCTGTGATATCTTCTTCTGTCGAGAACCCGGATTTGCGAGAGTATCAGACAGACATATGAACTGAACATAGATTGCAGGTCGGGGACGCTATGTATTCATGCCCATAGAAGAGATGCGCTGCACTTCACTGCTCTCGCTTCTTCTACGAGCGCCGCGCCCTTCGGACCACCCTAGTAACCGTATTCAGTTGCCACTATACGGCTTTGATGGTTTTGACCGCCCTCCCTACACCGCTTACTACTTCCTACCTATACAAACTCCTACAAGACCAAATCGCCATAAAATTACGCAGATTTTGACCCATTCCGAACACCATTATCTTTACCTACTGACATGTCTACGTAATGTATAGAGGTCAGAGAGAGCTTAGTTGCTAAGAATCACTTAGTAGAAATGGATTGCAAGTTATTATTCTGCATAAATAAAGTGGGGCCTAAGTACTGGTGCAGATAAATGTGAAATGTGACTGTATGACTCCGAGGCAGTTAGTGATCATTGTAATGTTGTCTGTCATGAAACTGACCATGTGGAGACCACCAAATGAAAGATTGGGGATCGGCGCTTTTGGTAGCATGACCTGAATCGAGCTTAAATTTTTATGGTCCCTTGTCACTCAGTTCCATTACCCGATATCATGGCCGAGGAAGTTATATGTTTAATAATCCGAATTGTGGTCATTCCTCGGCTGATTAATGAACTTATGATAAACTGCATTCGTACTAACCATACCACATAGGACCAATCAGCTCAAATGCTAATTCTTCTTCTACATCCTCATTCATATATGCGGTGGCTAGGTAATCCAACCCCTCTCCCCAATAGAAAGGTCCTTGTCACCAACGTAATTCAGCCTAACCCGACCAAACGTGGTGCCTTATTCTTTGAGACCCTGCCCTCCAAAGAAAAAAACGAATATTGTATTGGGACGGTATTAGGGGTCTAACGGACCAGAAAGATGTGAGATACCTCGGACCTGAATCTTGTGATTACTCAACATGACATTGGGAAATTTACTCAAACCTACTTGTAAGTATTACCACAGGTTGATTAAGGGATGCTTAGAAACCAAGCATCATTCTGTAGTGCTGGGTTGTCTTGCCAGGGAAGTTGCGGGGGCAGTTGCGGGCCGAACAAAACGTTTTGGGGCTTAGAAATCTTTTTGAAATGAGGTATATAGTCGATGAAGTACATTTGATCAGAGCCAGTTGATTCTTGCCTACAGAAAATTCCCCTTCTTTCCCTCTCGCCTTTCCCTCTCGCGTCTGCTATTCACTATGGCTTGGCCCAATGTCCGTATCAACCCCGCCGAGGGCATCTCTTACTTCACTCCGGCTCAAAGTCCGCCAGCAGGAACTGCCCGCAACCCCCAAACAAGCGGCAAGCCGATTCCCAAGCTCTTCCAACCCCTTACCATCCGAGGCCAGACATTCCAAAACCGCCTGGGCGTACGTTATATCCTTTATTTATTGCGGCTCTTCTCGAAACTTATACTCACTATGCCATCTTTAGGTGGCCCCTATGTGTCAATATAGTGCCGACGATGGCCATATGACTGCCTGGCACATGGCTCATTACGGTGGCATCGCCCAGCGTGGTCCGGGAATGATCATCATCGAAGCTACCGGGGTTCTTCCGGAGGGTCGTATTACACCCGCTTGTCTGGGTCTATGGAAGGACTCCCAGATCGCACCCCTGAAGCAAGTCGTTGAGTTTGCTCACAGCCAGGGTCAGAAGATTGGTATTCAACTGGCCCACGCGGGGTGCAAGGCTTCGACTGTTCCCCCGTGGCTAGGCGGTGTCACCGCGACCAATGAGGTGGGGGGCTGGACGGAGAATGTTAAGGCCCCGAGCGCTGTACCCTTTGCCAAGGGTGATATTGTTCCTAATGAGATGACCAAGAAGGATATTGAGGAGGTCAAAAACGCATGGGCGGCTGCTACTAGGCGAGCTTTAGCTGCTGGCGTCGACTTTATCGAAATCCACAATGCCCACGGATACCTGCTTTCTTCTTTCCTCAGTCCTTCATCTAACAAACGCACCGACGAGTATGGGGGTAGCTTTGAGAACAGAACCCGTCTACCTCTAGAGATCGCTCAGTTGACCCGCGACGTGGTTGGACCTAATGTCCCGGTTTTCTTACGTGTTTCCGCCACTGACTGGCTTGAGAACAGCCTGCCAGAAGAAAAAGGCTGGAAGCTAGAGGATACCGTGGAGTTAGCTCGAGTGGTCGCTGCACAGGGAGCGATTGACCTAATCGATATCAGCACTGGTGGTATGCACGCCGCTCAGAGAGTGACGTCGGGTGTCGGCTTCCAGGTGCCATTCGCGACAGCCGTGAAGAAGGCTGTTGGAGGCAAGGTGCTTGTATCTGCCGTTGGTACTATAAACAGCGGTGTTCTTGCAGAGAAGATACTCAACGAGGACAACGTCGATGTTATCTTGGTCGGGCGTGCTTTCCAGCGTGACAGTGGCTTGGCTTGGGCTTTTGCAAAGGATTTGGATACTGAGATTGCTATGGCTGCACAGATTCGCTGGGGTTTCACCAGCTTCCGCAATGCGTCGGAGTATATCCAGCCGAACTCAATGAAGGCGTCGATTTTTGATTGAGTGACGATGTCCTTATACAATGTTGATGGATATATGGATCACCTCATTCACCTGTCTCTCGCACGCAGGACCCCAGATCACGTGATGGAATATATAGTATTAGTTGTGGGGAAAATACAGCCTATTTTACCACTAGACCATAATGACAGAAAACTTGCGTACGAACAATATATGGTATAGATGACCAATGTTGAAGACTCTAGTTAACGTATTTCACCACCGAGCCGCCCACCCCAAAACACATAGTAAACGCGATATTTTATAACGCTATATCTTAACAACCGGGCTTTTTATTGACTTTATTATATATCGATAGCTATTGATAAGGATTTTAAATACTATATATCAATATTAAGAAAATCGAAGGGGTATATTATTATGGTATTGAAAATTACAGTGTAAAAAGCCAGAAATATATATATATCGCACTCACAAGGTTATATATATTTCCCAAACTCCCTAGAAAAGCTAGAAATTACGTAAAAGGCATTAGCCTATAACGAAATCTCTATATAAACTACCGTTGTTGAGAAATCAAGGTGTAATTTATCGCATTTACTATGTGTTTTGGGGTGGGCGCCTCGGTGGTGAAATACGTTAACTAAAATGACGAAGCCCGCTTTTTCAACAATCGGTGCGGACCGTGATGACTAACTGTAATATGATATGCCCTTTTGTATGGTATGCCTGGTACCCAATGTCACATGATGTTTCCGGTATATTACCTGGTTTCTACCATGTATTCGGACTTAGTATTCGACACAATATTATAAACTGTTATGATACGAGGCTAGTGCTGATCAGGAACAAAGCCGCACCATCGGAAATAATTCCCGAGATGTCTATACAAAGTATACAAAGACTCAAGTTGATTGGAAATCAGCTTGATCTTGTCCTAAGATATATAACCTCATGTATTCCCTCTGAAATAAGAACAATCAAATCATACATTTGAGTTACAACGTAACCGAATAACGCAGATACGATCAGAGGGGGAATAAGATTGATTTATCTGCCACCATACCCGCCAGCCCTGAGGCGTATTGAAGAGAAATGATATACAGTAAACCCATGGGTAAATAACGCTGCTCTCAATTATCCTCTATTTTTGCTTTGAAAGCGCTGCTCCTCCCCAGAGTGATCCGGGGTTCAATCGCGCGGGATAGAGTTCCATCATACGCGAGTAGATCTCTTCGGCGGTTTTACACTCCTCCACAATTCGGTTGAAGTTTTCGAGGTATGCCTTGGTCTCGCTTATGGCATCCGGGCCAAAAGAACTGTTCGGGTCACTGTGCCCGCCGACCACTACCTTGGAGTTCAGAGCGGCGAGCTTATCCAACGCTGCAATCCACGCAAGTCGCGACTCGACAGTCCCAGACTCACCCATATATGGGTGAGTGTTGCTGTAGACGGAGTCACCCGCAACAAGCAGACCGATCGATGGGACCCATAAGGCGGTGGTGTCGTCGCAATCGGTGTGCCCCAACCTCACTACCACCAATTTTTCACCTTCAAGTTCAAATTCGTCTGCTGGCAGATCCTCGGCGGATGCAAAGTTATCCGGAATTTGCCCGGGAAAGAGCTTTTCCCACAGACTTTGCAATCTCTCTGGAGACTGCTCGTTTCCCATCCTGGACGCAACCTCCGGTGTTGCCAGGACCTTGGTACCGGGAAACTGTTTAAGGAGGGTCGAGCATCCAAAATGATGGTCGCCATGCGAATGGGTGATATAAATAGCGGCCAGGTTCTTCCCACTCGCAATAACCCAATCGGTCAATTCTTTTGCGGCCTGAACGGTCAATTGAGTATCGACCAGAACGGCATCTTTCTCGCCGTAGATGAGAGTAGAACTCGTGGGAACCCATTTGAGGTGATCCGAGCCAGCCGGGCCGGCACGAGTCGCACTGGAGCGCTTGCTGAAGAAGACTTTATGTTGGAGACTCATAATGTCTTGACAGTATTTCCAACACAGAAAGTTGCACAGAAGAGCAGGGAGGAGGGATGGAGTACAAGAGGAAGTGGGAGCTTAGGTTCCAGATTTTCAAGAACTGGGGCTTTTATAATGATAACTTGATACTTATCCATTGAAAACGCTGCATTTTCCGGTCCTCTGAAGTTTGCCGTCGTGATTTATAAGCTGTAGTGGTTGGCCCTCGGCCCCAGCCGCGCAAGAGTTTCTGATGAGTGATCATAGCTTCTTTACTGTGAATGATTGATGATAGAGATTTGAACAGGTGGAGTTCGTATCTCGGTTCTTTCTAGGTTGCTCACGCGAGGTTTATTAGATCCATCGCCGTCTAATTCATACTAGCGAAATATAAGCGCACATTTCAATATGTTTCAGATGCAGCTGCTGGATAGTGGGTTTCCGGTTCGGTGAGACCACGTCATGTTGGTCAGCATGGCATACATACATAATGATGAACTTCACCACTCTGTTAATATTAACTTTCACACAGTATACCAACCAGTCATGCAGCCGTCCAAAGAGGCCCCAACACAGTGTTCGATCTTGAGACAGTAATTTCAAATTTGCAATACGCCCGACTTGGAGTCAGCGAAAGCAGGACTGATGTCGGCGCGGTTCTATATTTCCCTGCGTACCACTCGTTTGACGGGATCTTGGACCGTGGTTCGTCAGGAGAACTGGGAGACCGAGCAAACACAATTACGCTGCTGGAATCTGAACCGCAGTTAGTGATTCATCGGATTTCGACGTCTCTGCTGATGGTCAATCCCGGAAATGACAGTACTGTGCTAACCTCGCCGCATACAGAAAAGCACGAAATCCCAAACAGCTCGTTCTGTCGGGTAAGGCCACACAATTTGCCATCTATCGAGGGGTTTAATTTAAGCGCAATATTGCGGCGCAGATTGAGTTCATGAAGGCCCAGCTCTACTAGCAATTCGGTCTCTGCACAACACTAGGTTGATCATAGGGTTCGGGCCCCCTGAAATAATTCTCAAATTGAATCGTTATCGCTTCGCATCTGATATCAACAACGTTAGCAGTGCTCTAGTCCTTTCGAAAATCAATGATGAGTTGCGCAGTCATTGATCATACGAAATTTGTGCACCATGGAGATGAAACTCACTATACATGCCGACTTGGCATAATAAATTGGGCTATCTCAAGGTGCTGCTTTATCACTGGGCACGTGAGGAGGAATATGAGGAAGAAAACTGTTATAATTTGGTGATATACATATAGTGGGTGATGTAACACGTCTATCATCTATATTTCAGGCAGGTCTGCCTAGGCCTCGGCAGAGCCCGCCCATGGGCCGCCTATGAAGAGCCCATCAATGCATAACTTTCCCAAAATGATGGATAAAGTGCTGATTCAGCCAAATAAAATACTCGTTATTTACACTTGTTCTGGTCATACCAGCGCCCACCACCCCAAATCAACGCAAACTCCTGTGGAATTTAACGAAATAGTCAAGTACTCTGATTTTTAAAACTAGCAATTCATGTTTTATTTTCTCGGTCCATAGCCCTGAGTGTTTTGGTGGTGAGATAATATGCGGAGATCTTAAAGCCATGAAAAACTATGGAAAGATATATATTTCTGCGCTGTATTTGATAGCCTAGTGCCTATGCATGACCATTGCTTAATCCTGATCTTGTATATAATTCCTAGTGAGATCTTCTAGAATTTACAATTCTGATCCCCTACCATATCGGTTGTGTCCATTCATTGCCTACTATTGTGTCTAAAGCCGAAAATATTTGGGCTTTGGGACCGGGGCATCTCTCTGACCTCTAATTGAGGGGATCCATGGGCCCCGCTCACGGATAGTGGAGGTCCTTTGTTGCCAATAGCCAATCAATATAACTAGCAACTATATGTCAAACGGCTATATCAGCACCTTTAATCTAGTGTCAAATTGCATGCTCCTCAAAATGACGCGCCCCTACGTCCCTGGTTTTGACTTAGGTACAGAAGAAAGGCGAGTTCTGTATCCCCTGCTTTTCCTCTACCTTCGAGGTATATCACCATGTCTCAATTCTCTGACGCTGGCCCCTCTTCCCAATATGAAGGCGATACAGATAGTCTCTCCTTTCCTCGGTCTGACGATGCCTATCTCATTGCCGCTGAGACACCAAGCAGTCAGCAAACAATCGTTTCAGTCTCAGATTCACCCTTCCTTCGAGCACCACCACCATCGATTCCTCTGTGCCTTGAGTACGTTGTCCCGAGCCGAACAAAGAGCTTCATTCTTTATTCAATCATGAACAAGGTGGAGTTTATGGAGTGGTGGCTCTAGACAAAGGCGGCAGCTTAGAGAGAAAATGCGCTGAAAATTGATCCTAGACGCAAATTTGAGTGGCATGGAATCAGAAAGCACTCAACAAGCTGGGAAAATTTGGATCAGGTGGCACATATTTCCACGGGTACATCCAGCGTGATGTGTAAAAGATGTGGAAACATTCTTGATCACCCGAACTGGAGATCGAATGGAACAAAGTCTGTTAACCGGCATTGGACGACTAACCGATATAAACTGGCTTCCAGTCAAAAAGGCCAGTATGCAAAACTACGTCAGCTGTTCAAGAAACGGTATGTGCTATCCCCTCACCCGCCTACTTCAATATTAATGATCTAAGGACTCTCATAATCGCAGTGAGGTCGAGAACTTCACCAAAGAGCAGTGGGAGCAGCAGATTATCCGAACAGTCACTGTACTCCGGCTTCCGTTCCAAGTTGTCGAAAATCCAGAACTACAAATGCTTTGCCGCCTAGGTTAGGCAACACCATCAACCCCAGAGTTTCCTTCAGCGGGGACTGTTCGACGTCGGCTATAGGAATCTGTAAATGAGGCGAACCCAAAACATCCTCGGAAAACATCCTCCAACTGCAAAGCTTTCTATTGCATTGGACTGCTGGACTTCGCCATTTCAACAGGCATTTATGGCTATCACTGGCTACTTCATCGATCAAAACTGGAACTATCGCGAAATCCTTCTTGGATTTGAGCCACTGCATGGAACACACTCAGGGGCAAATCTTAGCACTGTTCTTCTCGAAAGGCTTCATTATCACAAGATTGAGGGTCGAGTATTGGCTAATACAACAGACAACGTATCAAATAACAAAACTTTGCTGAAGAAAATCCAAGAGACTTTATCAGCCCTCCAGCTTCATGATCACTTGTCTATCATCCGGATTCCATGCCTCGCTCACGTTATCTAGCTGAGCCTGAAGAAACTGCTTGGCTAAATAAAAGCCAATCCAAAGAACAAGGATCATAAAAGGGAATGGCCTAAAGCGCAAACCGAAGCCCTTCATGCTAATCGACAACGTAAGGAGATTTCCAGTACCTTAAATAGGGTAAGACCTCCACTCTATCTCTCTTAATCTTGATTCACAAGAACATTTATTGGTTGACTATTCCACTAGATCCGTGGCCTCGCTATCTACATTAATAGAAGCGCACAAAGAAGGGAAGCATTTCTTAGTCTTCAGACTAAACCACCCAGGGTAGTTCCTGTTCAAGATGTCAGAACTCGCTGGAACTCGACCTACCTGATGCTCCGTCGCATTAAAAAATTACAGACAGTGATTGATAAATACTGCACAGAGTATAATCTCAGGGACTACGAGTTAGACAAAGAAGAGTGGCGACAAATTGATTATCTTGTTTACATCACCCTGCCTTTCTACGAGTTTACAACTGCTCTCTGCCAGACTAAGGATGCCACTGTCCACAGCGTCTTTGCTATCTACCAACACATTTTTGAACACCTTGACTCTTCGATCAGTCTGCTTCAGCGGAAAAAGGTTCACTGGAAACGATCGATGTTGACTGCCCTGCAAGCGGCAAGGGAAAAGTTAAAGGATTATTATGGCAAGACGACTGGGGATCATAGCAATCTTTACGCGATGGGTACAGTTCTTCACACAGCAGGAATGGTCAGATAATGACTATGAATGGCGAGACAAATATCATCAACACCTCAAGATTACCTTGAACCCTACAAGCAACGTCTTTCTGATCATCAATCCCCAAAAGTACAGTCACCAGCAACAGGAGTATCGAGGCTTCACCGAATCCTAACACAACCACGGTCTGATAATCCACCCTCGATATCAAACTATCAGGATGAGCTTGAGCGGTTTTTACAGAGAGGTAAGTGCTACTCTATGTGTTTTTGGCGACATTCAGGACCTAATCCTACTATAACCTAGAACCAACTAATATTGAGCCTCTTCTATTCTAGAAGGATAATCAACATGAATTTCCAGGACTAGCAAGTGTTGCATGGGATCTTCTCTCTATCCCTGCTACTGGTGCTGGTGTTGAGCGACTGTTTAAATGTGCTCGGGATATCTGCCACTATCGTCGAGGCTCGCTCAAAGCAACAACAATCCAGACCTTATGATGCACATGTGCACTACGCGGTTTGATATCGAGGAGCGACAACTTAAGCTTGCTAAGGAGTTCTGGAGCGATGAAGAGATCAACCTAGTAGAGGAAGAAGAGGATATCCCTCAAGATGATCCTATTGCTCTCATCAGTGACTATGAGGAAGATGATTTAGGACCTATCCAGAATCAGGTCACTATTGAGAAAGATAGCCAGCGCACCCTTAGCAAGAGGCGACGAAGTCCTGTGCCTAGTGCTTCGGATTCTGAGAAGGGAAACACGGATGTTCCGGAACGACCTAGTGATGGAGAAGATGACGATGACGGTGATCTTCCGTTGCCTTCTATTACCCAGAGGTGTACATCAGGGGGGATGCCGAAGCGATCAAGACGGGACGAAGAGCTTTTTGAGTATTATGACCCTAAATAAGGAGTAAAATTTCAAATATAATGTCTTTAATCTGACTGTACTATATACAGTACGTGATCCTCTCCCCTACTTGAGACTGAGTCTGTAATCCAAATACTCAAAGAATTCAGCCAAAATTGCATAACTTATGAATGTCACGGGCTGTTCTTGCCTGACCCACATTTGGGCTGTTGGGCCGCCCATCGTGGGCTCTGTGCTCGCCCACGACCCTTATGGCCCGCCCATGGGCCCCAAACTAGAGCCCAAATCCCGCCCATGTACAGCCCATGGGCTGTGCCGAGGTCTACGGTCTGCCGAACCAAGAGAGTTAAGCCATGACAGCATCACATCATATTCAGAACCTCTCATTGACGCTTTCGCACCCGTGGCTTCCTCAGGACACCTATTTATTTCTCATGGAAAGAGTTCCTAGGGCGAAACAAGATCGAGTCCTCAGAGAAGTACGGCAGAAGCTTGTAGGTATCCCAATAGAGCCAGACCTCTTTGAATTGTAGGCCGCCCACCGTCCTCGGCGCGTTGTTGGGACTGATTTTGCAGACCATCGATAGAGGGACGCTTACGGTGGGTTTGTCGCAGTTGCTGCCAGCGGCCCAGAGATGACGGACGACATTAGAAATCAGGTCGACAGTCCCGTCGTCGTTTTGAATCTCCCAAATGGTCACAAAGTCATGCGAGACCTTCTCGAACTGTCCAAAGAGTTGCTTGATCCAAGGCCAGATTTGATCACCGCTGTAATCCACACCGTTCTGATTGTGAAAAACAGCATTGTCGGCGTAGAATTGGGGGATATCTCCGTCGCTCAGGTCTTTGGCGGTGAGCGCGGTGGCATACTGTTGGTAGAATGATTGGGCTGGCGTTTTGGGCCCAGTGGCGGTCGATTCAGCGCCGGTGACAACGGATGTCAGGTTAGGCATAGCAGAGGGAGGACTCTACTCCTGTTATATTCTTTATAACTAGATAAAATTTGGGAATGGAGAAGACCAAGGAGCAAAAGGGCGCCTTTTTAAACAGCCATGAGGGCAGAAAATCCACCTTGATGTCGAGCAATACAGGATCATACGCGATTATTAATCACCAGGTATTGGAGGTGATTTTGCTCCATACAAGGCGGTCTTCTGCATCTTGTCCAGGAGATAGCGGCTAATTGGCCGCTTTCATGTATTACCATTCCTCACGGACGCTCGAAGGGGCTGTTTACAACGACCGCCGAGGCTCACCCGATCTGGATGACTATCGGACTCAAGCTGCGATCGAATACCGATGAATTCCTTCGTCATGCCACTACGGCTGAAAAGGCTCCTTGGGTCCGCTTGCCCTCGGCATGGTTGTTTATTCATCATATAGTAACTAACTAGTTAACTATACTATTGCATCACCATGTTTACTAATCGCGCCTGGTTACCTCTTGGCTCCACTTGCCTCGGTATCCCTATTTATCCATGTATCATCGATTTACTAATTCCGCCTTGTATTGAAGCTAAAGGAATCCACTGTGACTTTCACAAGAGCCTCAACGCCCAGCTAGCCCCCGTCCACCCCAAATCCACACCGATCCAACATGACAAATACATCTCAACGTCTTTAACAATGGAATCCTCGATAGCAGGTTCATGGAGGTGATAACTTTCCCACGCAACATGGCAACGTCCCTGCAGCTTGCTAAATCTGACTAGGTAGAAAACTGACGGAAAGCTGGTGTACGAACAATGTATGGTATAAATGACCAATGTTGACAACTCTAACTAAAATGACAAAACCCGCTATTTCAACAATCTGTGCGGACCATGATGACTAACTGTAATATGCACTTTTGTATGGTATGCCTGGTACCCAATGTCACATGATGTTTCCGGTATATTACCTGGTTTCTACCATGTATTCGGACTTAGTATTCGACATTATATTTCTCAACGACGCCAAGAAACACGGCGGCTCCGCGACGATTGCCCCACTCATCACGCTCGGAAAGTTGGGGGTGTCAAGGGGGCTGCTTGAGGCCGTGGTAACGGAGTTCTCTGACGAATAGGGCGAAATCGTTCGGAATCTTCATTTGTGCGTGTGGCAGGATATTGGAATGCCTGCTCAATACTCTTAATGAACGTGCAAGGGTCAATTTATTTCTGCTAAACTCACCTGATCAAGATCCGGAATATGATCATCTGTCTTGTAGATCCACTGGCACTCGGAATTATCAACTAAAATGACTATTTCTCTAAGTCGAAACATTCTGCATAACTGTCGAATTTTGCGGAAAACCGTTATTCGACGTCGGTCAGGGGTTCGGAGAATCTGTGGCCTATCCATCTTAGTGTGTGCTTTAGAAGTAGGCTTCAAAAGTTGATTTTTGGGAATGGAAAACCCCTCTTTATATTATTCCGCTCACCTATAAATAGCCTAATACTCTCTAGGCGCCCGCAACGCGAGCGATACGCCGACGGCTACCTTCTCCTTGGAGTTCATATTAGGGCATACCTCCCTGTTCTAGTATCAATAGATCAAAATGTCTTTCCTCAATCCTATGAATATCTATCTCGTTATTTTGGGGGATATACTTCTCCTCATGATGCTTACTAGATTTTATATTGTTGCTTCCCACTTTTGGGCTGGAGACTACGCTTGCTTATGCTCAAATACTTTGTGTATCCGTTGATATTTGGGAGGAGGTCAAGGGCATGGGCCTTTTTACAGACTATCTATTGGAGTGGAACATTGATGAGCAACTTTATAGCGACTAATGGTCTGAAGAATATTGGGAGTCGAGCTGCTAATCTTGCTATCATTAACCTAATTCCGGTAGTCATGAGCGCGCGCCTTTTGCACTGATGGCAGATATGTTACGTATATCCCTTCGGTCATATATTCAGATCCATGGCACATTCGCAGTTATGAGTTTTCTTCAAGCGACTATGCATATCGGAATATCGATTCATCAAGTTGGATGGCACCCACAGACTAGGTTACAGGTTTATGGGGTGATGGTATGTCGAGAATTTTCACATAATTCTGTATTGATCTAAGACTCTATAGGCCGCATCGGCCATGACCATCTGTGTCCTGGGTGTCTTTACGTGGAAATGGATATCCCGAATTCTAGCCAAGATTTTCTTTGGGGCAACGCTCTCCATGCTGGTTACAGTATGGAGACATACTGAAGATTTCTATCTAACCCATATTTACGTTCTAGTCGGTAGCCTTTTATTAACATTGGCAACCGGGTATCGATGGATAATGCTACTAATTCGAAATATTGGACGCTCTAGAATTGGTACACGTGCTATAGTCCGACCGGTCCCGGGATCTTACGCAATTTTGCTTGTTATTCCAATCAATAGGCCCTTCAAATTCGACCAGGATCATTTTTATATTCGTGGATTCCTGGGGCAAGCTATCCTACAGCCCTTCAAAGTCATCCTTATCAAATTGCCTGGTGGGAAACTGACCACGATGAGAGGATAGTGACTGTTACATGCCTTGTTAAGCAAGCAAATACCTTCTTCACCCAGAGGCTAGCTAGAAATCCAGAAAGGGATTACTTAGCCTGGATAGATGGCCTATATGGCATATACATGGAGCTTGATAAGTATGACCAGGCACTTCTTGTTGCCACTGGTATTGGGATTGCAGCCCAGCTGTCATACCTTTGTCTACTTGTTGAAACCAGCCTACGAGGAAATCGACGCCGGGATATTTTTGTTGCATGGGAACTGGATCACAGATTTGCGTTACTAAGTAGATCATTGTGTTTCTTTGCTAATGGTACCTTAAAGCGGATTTGGACTATGTCCATGAATGGATGTGTGAGCTCCTATCACAAGATAAAGGCATTTACGTGAGTACATTTCCGACCTAGTTACGCTTGTTGGCTAAAATAACCTCTTAGTACCTACAATTTGGAATCTACGTACCCTCTTCTGAGGATAACATTAAAGATGCAGAACCGATAAATTGGGGGGGTGAGAATGGCAGAATATTTAAAATTCTTGGTCGTATCAATGCGGAAAAGGTCGTGCCAGAAAGTTTCTAGGGAACTAAGGGAAGATCTCTGGTTACTGACTGGTATGTAGCAAATATATTCAACTGAAGGTCTACTAACCAATTTAGTGTCTGCGCAGCCTGAGGTCAGGTCTAGACTCTCAAATGTAGTTTCAACTCGGATGAAAAAAGTTGTCGATATTATTGAACTTCCATTCTAGCCGTTAACGTGCTGGTAAAAAGGAAAGACCGAGTTATTCAGCCTAAGAAGAGAGGTTAGATACATTGCTTCCGGAAATCGGTGCCACCACCTCAACTCTTTCAATGTTTTCCACCCCTGCGTCGAGTCTCACTGTACTATATTAAGAATAGCCACCTGATATTTATATCCGCGTGTTATCACTTTACGATGTTTTACCCCATACAGTAGAATTCGAAAACAGTTTACCCCTTGGACGCTCAGGCGACAATGTTATTAATATTTTTGAGTTTTCAACTCGATCAGCACCAAAGACTGCCTCTTGCTATACCTGGTAGCTCGGCTATAAATTTAAGGCGTAGAATGCCATTGAGTCCCTTTTTTTAATGGACGGCATTGTGTTCAATCAATCAATCAATCAATCAAAGTTCAATTAACCTGTTGCAGTCTAACTAGTTGCGTATGACTATGCAGGCGCTTCATCCAACTGAAGCAAGAACTGGAAGCCAAACGCCGAGTGGGATCACTCCCAGAGTATACAGATGCTGATCGTAAAGAGTGCGGAATCAGCCCCTTCCTGTAACCCGTAGCCCCATAAATCCAAATCCATCCCAACCCATACATAGGAAATTAACATATAATGATAGTTGTGGAGTGCACCCTCCACCTTCCAACCCCCACTTCTTTCTCTCTCTCTCTCTCTCTCTCTCTCTCTCTCTCTCTCTCTCTTTCTCTGTACCCTCCCCTGCCTCAGTTTCAATTGATGGTGATGTTGTCCTGGCCATTCAACTGGCATGCTTGTCGACTCTGGCTGAGTCCTCGTTTCACAGCATCATTTGTCGTCATTGGCTGATACCCATCGTCTTCCACACCTAGCTCCATTGCCGCGAGGCCTGTCGGTTCGTCGTCGTCGTCCTCCTCGATCCCAACGTGTTGAAACTGCTGGAGGAGACCTGTTCGGTGCATAAAGTTGACCACGTAGCGGATGGCCTGCGGGTTAGATATAATCTTGTCATAGTCTATGTCTGTGAATCCAATCCCAATTCTATCCAGCTGCTCCCACAATTTCGTACGCGGAATAATGTATCGTGGACACTGCATCAGAATGTGCCTTGGTGTTTGTGAGCCCTCATCACAGCTGCACCGGTCAGTCTCGGCTTCTTTGATCTTAAACAAGAAGTGTCGAAGTCCAATCCGCGTTGTACGCATCTGGATCAAGATCGCACACTGTGGTTTCGACAGCCCTTCGTATAACCGGAGGGTCTTTTTGTTCGGCGCCTGCACCAAGCGCTTTGTCGGAGCGGAGGTTTTCTCCCGCTCCCATTGCTTCTCCCATCGCTCTCTGATTCGTTGACGTACCGCTCTCTTAGCAGCGGTGGCGAGGCGGATTATCGGTTCATCCGTTCCAGTCCCGGTCGCAACTCCCATCCCCGCACCAAGAAGCGCTGCACTTTTCGACGGCATTGTGTTGTGTCCATTAGTCGTGCATTCCAGCGAAACACCTAAAAAACTATAAGCCTGCTACCCGCATTATACTCCTCGGTAGGCAGTCACTTAAGAAGGACAGACAGAGTAGAAGAAGTATTGTCTCTAATAACCTGTCAAAGTATGCGTGAGAATATTAATACCAGCTGTCGAATACCAAGTCCGAATACATGGTAGAAACCAGGTAATATACCGGAAACATCATGTGACATTGGGTACCAGGCATACCATACAAAAGTGCATATTACAGTTAGTCATCATGGTCCGCACAGATTGTTGAAATAGCGGGTTTTGTCATTTTAGTTAGAGTTGTCAACATTGGTCATTTATACCATACATTGTTCGTACACCAGCTTTCCGTCAGATACTCCAAAATTCACTTGACCAAACCGCGACACGATCTATCCCTACAAAAGGGATAGCTTTAAAACACACAAGAGAGCGCCATTATCACCTCATTCAATCCCGCCGGTAACCCGACGGAGGTTATCCGGATCAAGAATAAGACCACTTTCATTGTCCGTTCTGAATGTTTTTTTGCCTTTAGGGACGTAGACCCTTCCGGAGTACAAGTTTCATGTACAAGATTTGGCCACTGTGGCGACCGTACGGAGATTGCGGTCGAGTTAGCCCGTTGATGTTATTTCCCTATTAGCGCGCAGCCTGTTACCGAATCCATTCCATCCTACAAATATTCATTTTGATCGTTTCCATATCTATTCGAACCGTATCCACAGTCGGTTATTACCACCTGTTCACTACCTTACACAGAGGCACGGGACTCAAATGAGTGTGGGTTTCCCCCACCACTTTTCACCGGAATAAGTGATCATCGAAATTCCTCCTATTTTCTTCGGGATACCCTAGTGTGTTATGGTTTGGCGTGTGTGGTTTTTCCTTCGCCACCTTGTAATCTAAGACAGGTACTTTTGCTTAGCTTTCAAATGATAAGGGGAAATGGCTGTGATCATTTTCCCCGCTAGTAGAGGCTTTACATAACTGTCAAGAAATAAAGTCAACGGAAGGAGAAGTTAACATGAACTCCATATAGCAATCATGCCCGAGACAGCCATCCCCTCATCCACATCAATTCCTCGGCACCGGCAAATTTACAATATTTATCGCGTGCTCTTAGTTTCAAATGGATTATACGGCGCGTGATAATGTGAAGGATTCACCCCGGGGCCTTGCATAACTGGAGGCACTTTCCCCGTCAACAAAGCGAAAAGATGAAGTTAGCTACATCGATTGACATGGGTGTCTGATGTTCTGAGGGCTTATCTCTTCTCCCAATCAATTCCCCCTCGACCACTCTCTCTGGCTTACGTCTTGATGGATTCAACAACATCACTCTTTGTCAACATGCCCGGAACAAACCCCCATCCCCTCATCCACATCAATGGCTTCCCCGGCACAGGAAAGTTGACAGTCGCCCAAGATCTGGTCGCGCATGTCGCCCTCTCCGCAAATCTGAAGCTGATCCACAACCACCTTCTCATCAATCCCGCTGACGCTGTCCTCCACCGTACCCAACCAGGGTACCAGTCTCTTCGGCGTGCTGTCCGCGCCGCTATCTTTACATCCCTAGCGACCGAGCCTGCAACCTTCAATACAACCTATCTGTTCACCGATTTTCAAACAACGAATGAACAAGGTGCCAGTGTGTGCGCAGAATATGCGCAGGCTGCGAAGGATCGAGGTTGTCTACTGATTCCCATTGTTCTGACCTGCGATGAAGATGAGAATATCAAGCGCATGACGCAGTCGGAGCGTGAAAAGCATGCAAAGCTCATGGATGTGGAGCTGCTGAGGACGTTTCGCAAGGGAGCACCGATTTTCGAGTTTAGCGATAGGAATGAATTTCTGGAGATCGATGTAACACGCTTGGAGCCAGAGGAGGTGGGGAGGACTATCTGGGAGCATGTTTTGCGGTTTTATCCTGATTTGAGCGGTGGGGAGTCTTGATGGTGCATTGTTATTCCCTCTGTTATGGACCTGGGGGGGTCAGAAGGGTGGGGTGGAGGAGGTGACGGAGATGTTCGATGGATTGAGCCGGAGCAAGTAGGACATGCGTCTTCGTCCTTTTGTTCTCCCTTTCTGTTTTTCTTCCCTTTCTTCTGTCTCTTTTCTAGCTTGGTTCTCTTAGTGGAAATGGACTCCTTCCTGCGCGATCGACCTGCCTTGTCACACCCTCGCTTGAAATGTGACAAGAGAAGAGACAAAAATGAACCTGTATTCTTTACAAACGACTGAGGCTACCTAGGTTTCTAGTTGAGACGACCACTCTGGCTGTTTCAGCAGAATACAATGAAATCTTTCAACTCGTCTGTCTATCGGCTAGCGAGATTGATGAAGTGGTTAAATACTCCACCATTTCGCCTGCTAAACGCCCAAGGCCAGCCATGTGCGTCACCTTTGGTCCCAGTTCCGGGGTGAGATATTCCGGGAAGGAATCACAGAAGATCGCTGGCTTAGGAAATGAGGATAGACAAGGACTAGCTAAAAAGATGGTGACATAGCCTTTTCGTTGAGGATGAACCTCAACTTGCGGACGTGTCGCGTCAGTACCTAGCTCCTGTGATAGAACCTGGAGGATATTCCAGATTTCAAGGATAGTCTGGTAGTATTGTTGTAGCTCTGCGGAGAACAACCCAGTCTTGTCTGGTCGATGGATCTCAACCTTGATCAATTTGTCACCAGCGTAGTGGAAAATTGCACGGTGGCCGTTGCCTAAAGGACGGTAGGTGGTGTGACTGTCATCTTTGAGGACAATATCCATAGACGGCGGGGCGATCAAGAGCGGGAATGCAAATGCAGAAGAGCTTTTCCCACAGGCTATAAATCCAATATCAGGAGCGTTATAAAAACTCTGTACTTTCTGAATCACTCTTCTTATTCGGATGAAGAAGTCCACGAAGGGCTCAGCCTCCATAGACAACACGGGCTCTCTCGGCTGGGAATGAACCACAATCTGATTGGGAAAAGTTGGGTACTTTACCATCCCAGCTCTGATCTTCTCATCCTCGAAGATAGCAAGTTGGTTCAAGATCGGAATGGTCGACCCCATGATACCAGCCTGCCCGGGGCCTTGTGAAGAAGTGGCCGACGCGACTGCAAAAATGCGACTATTACAATGTATTGAGATAGACCCAGATATGTCCACTGCAATCACTCCGCATGAAGAATCCGGGTAGAGCTCAGCAGATTTCAAAATTGCCTCCTCCACGGCATCATTCAGCTCGGTTCCCGACCGCACGGCCGCTGCAGCTCTTCCAGCCACAGTGGCCTGGAGTATGGCATCACCACTTCCACTGCTAAATAATCGAGAAAATTGATAATATTAGTATGATCCCTCGATTGACGTAGCTATGTTCAATTCACGTACCAAACAACCGCTACCTGATCATCAGCATAGATCCCTGCGCCAACAATCGCCGTATCCCCAATTCGTCCTCGATACTTGAAAGTAGCACCGCCAGTGGAATTGGCAGCTGCAAGACTGCCGTGAATATCGAGGGCCACCGCACCCACGGTCCCGTGGTTCTCCAGCAGCTTGTTCATCTTCGACTCCCAGTAGAGTCGACGGCTGTCGGTAGTAAAGTATGAGTTATCTACCATGTCCAAGCCATTCTTCTCCGCTAGCTCATCGGATGCGTTCCCAATTATCAAAGCTGGTGCCGGGAAATCAAGCATTTTCTGCGCCAGTTTGATGGGATTCTTGGTGCGCTGCAAGCTGCCCGCTGCTCGATACCTACAGGTTCGGCCGTCGATTACAGCTGCTTCTAACTGTAGATTGTCAACATTTTTTTACCCTTCAAATTATGTATGAGAGAGAGACACGGAGAGAGGACTAGTAGTGGGTATTTACCTCGTGGAAGCCATCAATGTTGAGAGCAGACCCTTTGCCGGCATTGAATTGGGGGTAGTCCTCTAGAGCAGATACTACTTCGGTAACAACCTTCAATGAACTTTCACCGTTCCTCAATTTTTCTTTGGCTGAATCGATTAAAAGATGTAGGAAGGCTTCAGTTTTCTCTTGGACTTCAGTGTCTCCTGCCCAAGAATCGGCAGCTCCAGCGTGGAGGATGATACTGTAGGACATTGGTGATGTATCTGATGTTGATACGTAAAATGCCTTGAAATCAAAAAGAGCCGTGAAAACCTATTCATATCTAGGATAAATTTACTGAATTCGCCCTATATGCAGTTTTTGTGTAGCCTCCGCTAGAAACAACCAAATACGGCCCAAGTGATATTTGAATGCAAGGCCACCCACTGCGTCAGTTGCATAAGTTCCGCGTAAGTCGGAAAGGGCCTACAGAGGATGACAGAAGGGCAATAGCGCAAATATTGCTTCGACAGGCCTGTCTAGAACATTCCCCTCCTGGTGTCCACCAATTGTGCAAGGCCACCACCACATGCGAAGATAGGATGTAAACCCAACAGGATGATTTCCCTCATTCAATTAATCCCTCTTTGGCAATGCTTGCAGTGCGTAACAATTATCCCCTTACATGCGCTGTAGTATTTATCTTTACGATAATTATATTATAAAGCTAGTATTCTAACTTCCTACCTACTCTTTTCGATAGGGATATAGATAACCTTAGCTATCTTATTCCCTCTTCTCGGGCTCTAACCCTACCTAGTAGCTAACTTACGATTAAACCTTTTAATACTATTAATACCGACTTCCTTCGGCCCTCTAACCTTCTACCGATCCTACCCTCTATTACCCGCGTTAGCCCTAATCGGAGAAAGGCATATATACTTTATAACGATATAGTATATAAAGAATAGGTTAACTCTTTCCGCACGAAGTGGGTCAGTCTGCTGCCGCAAACTGTAGACTACTAAACCGGCTGTACGGAGTATATTTCACGATATTGAGGTTTTTTTATCGCAGAAGTCCATTGCATACGAGTCATACCAATCCCAAGCCGGACGCCACTGCACTATTTGCAACCGAGGAACAGTTCAAGAACAACAAGGCCCAGACGGCTCATATCTACCACGATGAGAAGGGGCTTATCTCTACTTATTAAAGGCAGCGTAAGACCGGCGAAACATACAATGTAAAGGGTGTTTTGCGGTGTTTCCCGGATTCTATCTTGCCCTATGATTTTATCTCATGTGTCGGGCATGTTATCCGGAGCCCAGAAAGAATTTGTAAAGCGTCCCGTCATGGCTCGTCGCGCCTAAGCTATGCGCAATCGCACACTTTCGCCTCTTGACATGCGAATGTGTTTAGGATTACCGTATGAATGTGCCTAGATAAATACTTACATATACTCTACCTGTGCAAATGCACGACTTAGAATTGCGTGCGGTGATTGTAATACCGATGTGTCTCACAATGGCATTAGTATTGCTGTAGATGACCCCTTAAACCTAGTCCAAAGGCAAATCATAGACTTCTAATAGCACTTCGTATGCATATCCTGTGTCACACATTTTGCTAGTGACCTTGGGATCGAGGCCGCTGGAGTTACTTGCCTATCAGACTTCACATTAACAGCGCAGATGGCTTTGATATTCTTCACTACTAGGATATCCTTCGTCACGAATTGGTACTGCGACTTGGGTCGTTAATGCAAGTCATGGATATCTTACCCTCCTCTGCAATCCACGTATTTAAATTAATTCTTTCTCTTCATGTGCCATGACTTGCTCTTAATTACGTTAATTTGCTCAGGGATAACTTAATAGCCTACATCCGAGAGAGGGCATACGTCGGACTCCTATACCTCCTATACCCTCTTTTTGATGCCGTGCTTCGGAGTGGTCACTAGCTATGAAGTGAATGACATATCTGCAAGCCCGCAGCAACTTCCTGTTTTAGAGGGTAGCACATGAGCGCTCCCTGAGCAGTCTGGGAGTGCTCCTTGCGCACTCACAAGCTTTCGTCCACGCATCATACGCTCTGAGATCAGACCCGGAGCACTCCCGGGCCCCTCGAAGCAATACCAGGATCAGCTCCCAGATCTCAGATTGATTCTCACTCTTTTAGCTTCCTGTTCTTTGGACGACGTAATGCGTCCTGGGATCTTTTCTCTCTTTCTCGATACTCCTTTGCCTCCTTCTCTGCCTCGTCTAATCTATCCGTGATCTCTCTATCATGCTTCCCTGACTCGTGATCAGCAACGCGAGACTCATTGTCTTGAATCTCCCTTTCGATTCGCTGCCGTTCCTCTGCATATCTCTTCTCAATCTCTGATCGTTCCTTCGCATTTTTCCCGTCCTTGTCAGGTCGATTTTCAATGTCTTCCAATTCCTTTCTCAACTTGCCCTCTTGGATTCGCAAATTCTCTCTCAGCTCTCGGATGTTGTTTTTCCAAGACGGGACATCTCGCGCAGACTGCCGTTGCCTGATGTAGACTGTGATGACCTTGTCGATCATCTCCTTGCTCACATCCGTCTCGAATTTAGTAGCGGTATTGTCCTTGAAGACTTTGATGAATTCCTCCCCGAAAAGAAGATGCATGGTAAAGAATTTGGAGAAAATTTCCTTGCGCAAAGTATCCCGACAACGTAGTTTGTAATCTTTAGCGAGTTCTTTGCGCACCCTGTCAACGTTTTCTTTGTCATCGAGATCCTCCTCCTTGATTTTCTGCACCCAATAATTTGCTCTGTCTCGAAGCATCTCTTTCAGTTGAACATCAGACTGGGTGATGTAGTTTTGCAATCTGCGGCTCATCCTGCTGTGGATGGCCTGCTTGATTGAGGCGGTGAGAATCCGTGAGAACTGACTCCCGGCGGCACCAATGGCGGCCCCTCCTGGACCGGCTACGAAGGCTCCAAGAGCTGCGCCAGCGACGCTGAGACCTACATGAATGCCTTCAAGATAAACGTCACCCCAACCGTCTGGTGCGGCCATGAGTTGAACATCATGGGTGTATGGCTTTGTTGCAAGGTCAAGGCAGAAAGCAATGGAGCTGACTGCCTTATCTTCCCGCACTTTCTCCGCGGCCAATATCTGCTGCTCCGATATTTGCGGGTCGACTTCGGGCACGTAGTCTTCACCTGCATTACCTTCAGGGTTGGCAACGTTTCCCCACAGATAGTATTTCGCTCCGCTAATACTAATCTTCTTTTGATTGTCTGAAAGTGACACTGTGCCCTTGAAAGCCGGTGGAGATGGCCTTTCTCCTACTATTGGAGCACATTTAAATTGAATCTCAAAGCTTGTCCCAGCGGATGTTGAGAAAGTGACATTGCTGGCCTGAACTCTGGGAGGTCCATCAGCCTCTTGGCCGTCCACTGTGAGGGTTTAATCAGCAAAGTTCCAAGAGTTGGCAAGAAGCATGATGTTTCAGTCGTTCGCATACAGTAAATCATTCTGGTACTGGGATCGACAAGCAATTCCGAGAAGCCGAGGGTATTAGAAGCGAATCGATAAACGCCGCCAGCTAGGCGAAGGTCGAAATGTTGACCCTGCTGGGACATTTCCTTGAGGGCCATCCAATTGGCCTGGGTAACGTCAATCCCGTGGCTAGCGGCGTACTCAGAAGCCTTTTCTTGCTCAGCAGCCCTCAGGATACCATCGACAAATTCCTGATCTTCATACATCTTTTCAAGGAAGCCCTTGGCTATTTCTGTATCTTGTGTTAGTCTTCTACCGTCCTTCGCGTGTCACTTGGAGCGGACAACTGGGGAGGAATGTCGGAGAAGGGACACTACCGAATTGAGCATCGGTGACAGGAATCGACATCGTGTTGGAACAGCCGTTAGCCTTGCCGAGAATCTAGAGTGTTGCCGAAAATGTTGAGTAATATAACACAACGTAAACTTTAGCCAGACTTTGAGCGAGAACCTGATTTCATATAAGATATAACTCACAAGTCATCACCATCGTAATGTGAGGAATGGATCAGTATGACCGGTCAGTTCCTTTTTACTCGGCACTAGCGGCAAACACTACATTAAAAAATAGTCCAGGAGTGATGCAGCTGCAAGAAGCCCGCAGATCTTCCCTAATAGAGCAGATTAGCAATTCGACGGCGCTATGGACATTCTATATTCTATTACCTAGACTATTATTACTAAATATATTAGAGTAGAGGTATGAGGTATTTTTCTTAGTAGCAAAGAGGACATGACCGCTGATAGCTATACTTTTTAACTGAGAAAAATACCTCATACTTCTACTGAACTGAGACTTACAGATGCCTAATGACCCACTCCTTTGCTACTGAGAAAAATACCTCATACTTCTACTGAACTGAGACTTACAGATGCTTAATGACCCACTCCTTTGCTAGTTACGTGGAACGGGTCTGGGGAAATGGACGAAGCATTACAATCAGGCAATGTGGGGCAACCAGACCTTCTATGACGACCCTATACTACTCGAAAAGAATGTGCTTTGTGCTCTGCCCTCCAGAGAGTGGGCTACTATTAGTCTTAACCTCTAATACTTCCAAAAGACCACTTTGTACTTCGTGTAAGCATATGTTATTGGTTCTAAAGCCTGACACTAAGAACGGCCATATGACTTTCTGTCTCTTCGAAGCAGCAGCTTATCTAACGTTCAGAAACCGCCCAATACCCCCTTTTCAATTTGCACTTTTCACTTGGGTACCATGACATGGCCCAACAGAACAAAGTCAAACGGAACCATGCAGGCGGTCACTTCAATGACTTTTTGTCCGGGGCAAAACACGTTGGTGGTGCGAAAGTAATCGAGCTCTGGAAGATTTAGATGCAATTCGGGGAGAGAACAAGTCACCTGAAGGTCGGATAGTTTGGTTTCAACCAAGGGCCGGTTGCCCTTGTCAAAGTCAAGGGAGAAATTCACCGTGTTGTCGCCGAGTTTGGCCAGGCTGCGCGGTTCCTGGTCAAACATGGTGAGTTAGTTGGATGACGACTATGATCGTTGCGGAGAGCATGGTGGAAAGGGATTGGGGTTGGCGTACACATTCAATTTTCCCCGTATAAGTGGTGTTATAGTCCTGCCAAAAGCCATGAGAGCCAGTCGGCGTGTCGAACTGTTTGTAAACTTGATAGTGGACTGTTCCATCCTGCTTCCACTCCCACTGGTACTGCGCGCAGTTGAGCTCCTTGTCACTGCTAATGACGAGGTGGACAGGGTGCTCGTCAAAGTCAATGTCGGTTGATCCATACGCTAAATTGCTCCGGGTCGAGGGGAATGATCCCGAAACCACCTGCTGCTGATCGTACTTGAGGGCCAGCTTGAGCCCCTGCTGTTCCTGTCCCAACCCGGAGTCCTTGACCTCGGTTAGGTGCGACTTTTTGCCCGAGGCCTCGATTCCGGGTATGAGATACTGGTTTACAAACCATTCGCGGGAGATGATGATGGACGCGTCGTAGTCCTTGGGGATAGGAGTACAATCGCTCCCGCTCTTGGGCTGAAACTGGCAGTTGGACTTTCCCGTGTCCATATTGTTGCTCTTGGTGTTGATAAAGACGCTAAGGACTCCGTCCTGACTCGCCAGGTGGAATCTTGTCGGTGTGAGCGTGTCCGACATGTCCTTGTGTTTAGCATTGGATACCTCCGCTATGTGGTAGTCGATGCTGCCGTTGTTGGCGTTCTGGAAATATGTCCTGAGCTCTTCGGTAGCGTTGCGTAGGGCATTAGCTTCGTCGCTCGTGTCGTCGGCATGCTTGTCATCGAGCTTCCAGATGGACTTCTCGTTCCGGAAGTGGAAGCTGATGTAGAAGGTCTTGGTCTTGCCGTCACCTCCGTTGTCATTGAAATGAATGGCGTTTCCGCTCTTCTATTCCGCACATCTTCTCATCAGCCAACATGTAGACACCTGGCCTGTTTTATTTCTTCTTACCGGGGCTTCGCTTCCATCTCCATTGATGCTGACAATGGGGACCGTGACCTTGTAGGCGAATTGACCCTTGGGGATCTCCAAGCTTTCCTTAGGGTTCTTTGCATCATAGGTCTTGCCACTGACCGGCAAGACTAGATCCGCCGTGGCCTCCAGCGCCGTTGACGTGAAATGGAGACTCGGGTTTTCGAGACTCAGCTCGAAAATATCGGTCCATCTTCGGCCCAAGTGGCCCCCCGGGACCTCAATCCTGGGGCTGGCTAGCCTCTCGCGCTTGTTCCACGACTCCTGAAGATATTTGTTGAGGTTCTCCGACGAATAAGACACGAGGACGTCCCAATGGTCGGTCGTGGGAGTGGCTCCCATGGCATCATGGAGCTCAGGCTTGGTTTTCTGGACCACCATCGTATCGAGATACCTGTTTGATGGGAATGAGAACGACTTTACACGTCCTGCAGGTGGCGGATTGTCAGATTGTGGATGTATATAACCTTCTTAGCGGTGGAATAGTGTCTCTGTTAGCACGAGCTTTCACCAAATAGTCATATGGGTACATGAATATTGCAGGCGGCGAGAATGAACCCCCAACTTTTCTATGCACCAATGTTTTGCCATTCCGAGGATGCCGCAGGGCATGTCTCGGTGCGCTAACGAGACAGCTGTTCAGCGCGTAGTTTTATCAGGTCTGAATGCGCGAGGTATGAGGATTCTGCTCCTACTTTGATTACCCCCTCGTACCCCTTGTTCCATTGGGGAGGTTAGTGTGGCGGTGGAGAAAATCTCAGCGATACCGTACAGTACATGCTGATCCACTGCAGGGAGTCGTCACACCGCCTGGTGTACGAGATGAAGCCGTGGAGCTCCCAGCTCGGATTGGATCCTAATGCTTCTCATGAGCTCCACAAGTAAACAAGCGCCCACCGTCTTGTGGGACCTTGAGCAAAGGGGATTGGGAGGGGGAGAGGGGGAGAGGGGCTTCAGCTGAATCCTCACGTTGATCTTTGCCTGCAAACCTGCGATTGGTCCGGAAATAGCCAGTTAGTAGTCACTTGCATGCAGCCGAGCGGGAGGGAGGGGTCATGACTCATATGTAGCTCTCATGTGGCCATGGTGGTGCTGCATATGCATTCACGTCCGTTTATGGCCTTTTTGGCCCTTGGCTATCAATCATCAGGATCTTTACCTACGGAGACACTATGGTGCTGCCAGAAAGCCAGAGTCCAGACGGTGGAGGTCATGTCAAGGAGAATGCGGACTCGGCCCTCTGAAAGAAATGTCTGTTCCTCAGGTTCGTACTTTCTAAGTTTTCTGAAGGTCGTTTCATACCATAAGCACATCCTTTCAGACCGAATTCAATAGGGTATCTTACAAGAATTCTACCACCCAAGATCCAGAATGATACTCAAGACACTCAAGCCGGAGATTCTCGACCTCGAGACGATACATTACCCGTGGGGAAAGGAACCACTTCTATACCTCTCTGTGTCCGAGGAGCAGCTGGCGCCCGAGTCCGGCCTACAGGCCCCTGCTGACTTCTATGTCGAGCGCTTTGATCTGACCAAGTTTCTCCAGGCCAGCAACAGCAATAACGAGAGCCCTGTTCGTTTCGGTCTCTTTACGTCCCGCCTCGTCGTCCCCAAAGGCTGGGGAAGGGATGTCGGACTCTCCCTGTCGGGGGTTGACGGCCGTGGGGAAACGGAGAAGGAAGATGCTAAGCCGGACGGGGCCAACGGTGGGATATTGGAGCTTTTTATCGAGCAGGTTTCGCTCTCGACGGCCGACAGGCTTCGAGTACAAGGTGAGTTGATCACTCGCAACATGCAAGGCAAGGTTGGGAAAGCTGATGGTTGATACCTGCAACGAAGCTGTCGGCGGCAAAGGCTTGAGTCGGACTGACACGCCCGACACGGATGATGAGGGCAAAGGCGAGGACGGGGGTTATGGTGGCAACGGAGGCGTCGTCAAGATTCTCTTCGGGACACCCTCAGCATTGGTGACCAGTCGCCTCGTCGAGATCAGGGTAGCTCTGGACGACGACAGAAGGGAATCTTGGCCGATAGCATACAGCAAAGAGATTGGGGAGTTTGCGAGACTAGTAAACAACAAGGAGGTCAAGGCCAGCGGCGTGGAGATACCCGAGTCGATGAGAACCATGAAAGGGCTCTCGGCCACGCGCAAGGTCCTCTTCAGGTGGACGCTCAACGCCCTCATTGAGGCTCTCAATGGGAAGCCGCTACACGTCGCTGCTGCTCTCTCGCAGGGTGTTGATGTCTCGGCTGGCGGTGGTGGCTTGGGTGAGCGTGGGAAAGACCGCAAAGGCAAGGACGGCCAGTCCGGCGAGAAAGGGACGTGGTACGCCCGGTCCAAGGACGACTATGAAAGCCTCTGGGAATCGGGTTTGTGCTTTGCCCACCCTGTCCAGTGCCAGATGCTTCTGGACAAGGCCAAGTTCCTCTACTTTAAAGGGAGCGATCAGGACAAGGCTGACTGCCTCGATATTCTCGAGAGGCTCCAGAGGCGGCTCGCGGTCTTTGGCACGAAGGCCACTGACCACTCCATGTCCCTTCTCTTCGAGTCGTACCGCAAGTCAGCGGATCGACTATACACCGTGCAGGACGCCGACCATACTCCCAGTGCCGTCACACGTCTCAGGCATATCCGCGAGGACGCTGCGACATATGAGCAACAAGTGCGCACGCAAAAGGACTTTTACGGGAAGGAGCCCGGTGAGGTTCCAAGGGGCTCATTCACTTTCTATCAAAAAGGGGCAAAGGAGGTCCTGGAGCACCTGCAGGAGGTCGAGGACGTATACGGGGAGTACTACACGGCGACCAACGAGACAGCTGAGAAGCTGTGCAAGGTGCGGGAGCGGGCGAGCATCTGCAATCGCTCGATTGGCCTGACCAATGATCTCATCGAGGCGTGCTTCAGGGATATCAGCACCACGGTGCGCAAGGTCGAGGCCGGCGTGGACGCTCAGAGGCGGACCAAGCAGAAGCTGCTCGTGGCGATGCGCCAGGTGGGCGACAAGATCAAAGATCACTTCGGCCTTGAAGTCCAAGACCTTATCGATGCCATGGGCCAGATCCTATTTTGCCACGGGAGCTACGCCATGATCGGTGTGCAGACGGCTGGGTTGGTCGACAAGGGCCTCACCAAGGTCCTCAACGATCGGGGCATACCTGTTGAGAAGAAATACCTCCTACGAGAGCTTCAAGAGATTGATGGGACCGTCCAAGGCCTGAAAGAAGGGTTCAAGCTTCTCAAGAATAGGGGGATCAAGATCGACGACCCGGGAACCGAGAAACTTCTCATGGCCAAGTTCCAGTTTGAGCAGCTCATGGGTGAGTTCCGTGATGTGATTGAGGACGGCCACAAGGACGTACTCACCAGCTTTGATGCTTATATAGGTACGTGTCTGCATGGAGCTCTAGTGCGGACTCCTAAGCTGACTTGGTGCCATATTAGATGTCTTGAGTACACGAAACACGGCCATCCTGCACTACAACGCAGCCCTTGTGCTCCTCAAGAGTTACTACCAGAAGATTGAACAGCTGAGTTTTGACAGCCAGGACCTAAAGCGCGAGGAATGGGACAAGCTGGGCGCGGGGCACCCCGCCATGACGGGCTTCCTTAAGAAGATCTACGTCCACAATATTGCCATGGCTCAGATTTGGCTATACAAGGAGCAGCAGTCGTACCAGTTTGTCTCTCTCGAGAAGGACAATGTGATTGGGGATACGATGAGAGACTGTTCCACGTCGCAGTTCAACCATGCCATGCTGCACGAACTCCACCATGCCCTCGGCAAGAGATACGACAAGTTTGTCCAGGACCGGGGCCAGCCGCCGCAGGAGTATCACCAGCTACGCTACCATCTCCCTAAGGACGACAGAGAGTACCTCAAGTGCGCGGCCGACGAGGACGGCGTGCGTCTGTCCGTTGACAACATTCCCCTTGACCATCCGGGCTTTGTCAACAAGTACGACGTGCGCCTGTCCAACGTCCGTTTTTTCGCTGACGGCGCGGTCACTAAGACGGATCGTTTAGAGGTAATGCTGACTCACAACGGGAAGGAGATATTTGTGAACCAGGGCGGACAGCAGACGGTCTTTACCCACCACCCCGTCAAGGTCACCTTCAAGTACATACTCTCGACCAAGGACCACACCGGGGAAGATACCACAGACGGGACTATCGCCTTGGATGACAAGGACGACGTCTACGCCCGCGTCGGGCCCTTTGCGCGGTGGACGATAGAGATACTCGGGTCGGCCAACGAAGGGCTCCAACTCACGAATGTGTCTGATGCGTATTTCGAGTTTGACTTTCGGTACTATACGGCGTAGCATAACAAAAGCAGCTCTGCAATACTCTCGTGTTATTTGTCTCTAGATATGACAGTACTATGTATATATAGAGCTGGCCTTGCTTTTGCCACTGCCTCTTTACTTTTCCTCCTCGCGAGACGTGCGGATGCGGAGTTTCAGGTTACAATACGATTATAGGCCGCGCACCTACGGGCAAAAGCCAGCCTTAACTTGAGCCGCCTTAGTTTCGTGGCAATTCACAAGTTTGACAGTGAAGCCTCCTCGGGCTCTGATGGCGGGCTCTCCATTAGCACCACGCCTTCTGGACAAAGTTCCCGCCGCGGCTCCCGTCGCCTCACTGAACCTTGACTGTTCCTTTCACGTGAAACATCAGCAGCTGTCACCAGCACAGGCAACGCCTGCCGTACTCCGTTAGTAACAGTGGCCATAATGTCTCAAGCGGTAACGCTTTTTCAGTAGACTTAAACTCATAGCTTTCGCCCTTGCGACGTATGCAAACGTATACTTCGGCGTCATAAGCCTGGCGGATATTGAGGCCATTGTTCTTGGGTGTGCTCCATTTCTTCTTCAAGTTCTCATTACTCCGGTCTCTCTTTACGCAACAGTAGAAACCTACGGGTTTTAATATAACTTCAAACGATTTTGGAGGGAAAATAGTGTTTTATCCTCCGAAATTCCTCTTGACGACCCGGGTACATACCAATCCATATATGCACAGGTCCAAGCATAAGGTTATATAACTCCCTCCTTATAAATATTGACTCTGCCATGTCTCTCAGCGTCTCAAAGCACTTTCCACTATCGCCGCTTCTCGGAGAAGCTTTTCCTCCTAGAAAAACCTACCCGTGAGATGTATATGGCAAGGCGCAACTTCGATCTCGTGGGGATTGTCTGCTGGTTGTTAACAGCCTGCGATGATGGAGATATTTAGCCTTACATTTGGGTTGGTATATAGCATCATGAATGAAACTCGCATCTACAGATTTGTCCGTCTGGCCATATGGTATAACACAGGCAGGATACTAAGCACGTTAGTAAATGTGCACCTCAAATCGGTGAAGTATATATATCAAGATAATTGGAGATGAGAGTGTGTGCTGGAATACCGTAGCTGTCGTGGGGAACAATGCGTCCCCTGTCCATCCCAATAGATATCAACCATGTGGATTGGTAGCTCAATCAGCTTCTTTGTCCAATACCAAACCAACTCCACATGAAGCACTGGAAGCAGTCAAGGTGCTGATAAACTATTCAGAACATGAAATGGAGTTTCCTGAGGATGGCCATCTTTTAGTAGCACTAGGGCGGTTTCAGGAAAAGGTAGAGGAGCACTGCAGAAGAGATGTTTGTGCACAGACTGGTTTTAATATGAATACAGAATAAAATAATGCTCAAGAGCTCTTTCAATCTAATGTAAAATGCATCTCCTGGCCATGCACGTAAAATCAAAAAGAGCTTAGATCAGCCAGTGTGCAGCTTAGTTATTAATTGGTTAGCTGGTGTTGAAGAGGGTCCTTCAGTCCTTCTTCTTGGGAAGGAAGTCACCCTCCGATGATCAAAAGTGGAAGCCGAATTTGGAAGTAGTGCGAGCCTCAATACGATTTGCCATCGCTACGGGCCGACTTGATGCTACTTAACCTAGCCAACGAACGGGCAAAATACCTCTTCTAACTAACCCCCAACACCTTGTGCCAGACGGTAGACGCGCTTCAACTGCCGAGGATAGGATTTTGAACACTTGAAGAAGCGCCTTCAAGCCAATCTACTCACTAATACTAACCCACAGGGACCAATTATGAGATTGAAAGCTGAGAAGTCAAATACGGGAGGAAATACTGTATGGGCTCCAAGGAGACACGGCGTATACCCAAACATGTATGTACTGGTAGATTAGTGATAGTTGCCCTTTCGGCTCAGCCGCCGGGCGTTAATGAATTGTGTGTGTGTGTGTGTGTGTGTACCAGCTGCATAACAAATGCGTCTTCCAGTGATCAAGATTCGACGCTGACTAGTAATATTTTCCACAACGGTCAAGGTATCGAATACGTTTTGCCTTTCCATTTCCACCATGCATGTCCCCTATCAAGTCCGCATATTCATCCTTCAACTCTTGAGCACGTACAGATAAATCTTCTGCCTTTGGCTCTACTAATTCATCGTCGTCATCAAGCTCATCGTAGACAATATAGATCTCCTCCAGTGGTCCCATTGGGCAAGACAATTTAACATATACTCATCTGGAGTATCAGTAACCCAATCATCTTCACAAACAAGGACAACCTAGAAACAGAGGAGTTGGTCGCTATAAAAATGAACCAAGTCTTGTAGCCGCTCCTTTTCGTCAGTGAAGTTAAGGCTAAACTAAAGCAAATCATAAAGTGGACGAAAGTAGAACGAGCCCGTATCCGATTTAGAATGTTCCATGGCCAGGAAATGCTTTAGCTTGTGCTGCCGAGACTTATAGCACACGCCTAGGGCCATAGGATAAGGATAGCTTTCTAACAGCTTGCTTTCCAGAATCCTCCACTTAAATCGGTGGTTCAAAAACTTAGATACGGAACCCGTAGGGCGTAATATTGTAAACTCTTCGTAATCATCGTTAAAGACCTCGAAGGATACGGCTTCGATAACTCGAGGTAGTGGCTAGGTATATTCCCAGACTATTAGGCGTATCTCTATAGGTAGGCTTAGAAAGTGATAGAAGTTTGAGTCGTTTAGGCAGCTTATATTTCCCACCAGGACCGAGTTAGCAGTTTTTCAATCTCTATATAAGCAAATCGCCTTCGGAGGTAGGTTTATAATATTAGGTAGACTTCGGCAGAACCCATTTTGGGTCGGAGTCTCCGACCCAAAACCTAACCTGTTGGGTTTTGGGTTCCGCCCTCTATAACCCAACCCAACCCAAAACCTAATGGGTTAAACCTAATAACCTAATAATAACCTATTTGAACCTATTTTGGTATAAAATATAGGTCTTAGCGTTTATAATAATGTTAAGTTATCGAACAAAATAACTGTTTTTTACAACTGTTCTGGTTTGTCTGTCGAACATTGCTATATTATCACGGTAATAAGTTAGAAATTTTATATAATTACTCTGAATTTGAAGCCAATTACTTTATATTATATTAATTACTAATAAAAATTGGGATTAATTATAGTATGGTAGTGTTCTATTAATTCAAGTATTTATTGACTATAGACTGTTAGGAATATATATTAGTAGTAGAGGTGAGTTTGTACATACTTGAATATAAATATAAATACAAATAGAAATCTCTTAATCTTAGTTTATTTTCTATATAATTGATATTATATTAAAGCTATATATCTCTTTTCTTATATTCTTACTTAATATATCTAGTTCTTGATATAGTATACGAATTAGGGTAGTTTATAAAGGATCTCTATACTCTTATACGTACTCCGTCCGATAAGGCCTACTAGATAAAATATCCCAGACTATACCTAGAAGGGATTAGCCCCCATAGGGTCGTCTATACTATGATACTTAGTTCGTTGATAGCATTGCTACTGCCCTTAATTTTTGGAGTACTACATCTTATCAAGGACATACGTCATAACGAAAGGGCACAGGGCGGAGTGGAGAACGCCATCCGTTTTATGGTGTTGCTTCCATCTTCCTTTCAATCTAGAGCGGCTCGAGCTTAAAAATCTCAGATATAAAAGCAAACCGTATGGCAGCATTAGCATATAATAACCAACATGTCTTCTATCCAAGCGCCTTTTACCTTATATATTTATCCAATATTGCATTCTATTATATTAAATACATCTACGACCTCTAGGTCGCGCCGCACTTGATTATAGGCCGAAAAGACTTTTTCGCCAAGCGCGATGAACTCGCGAAGGAGAGGCGCCGTCTATAGCGGGAAAAGAATGGTTATACCCCCAGAGCCTATAAAGAGGAGGACTCAATTCGGGAGAAAGATAAAAGGCTCCCTAAGACTAACGAATTATACCGATAAACTATAAACCTTTGGCTTAAGTGAGTTACGTATAGACTGCGACATCGCCCATGGACGGGCGGGTGGGCATTGCCCACGGGCCTTATGTAAGCGGGAAATGGGCCCTATGGAGAGGCCTATGGACGGGCCCTACCCTTAGGGCCCACGGGCCTTGGGCGTCGTCGGCGCCCGTGGGCCTTTTTAGTAAGCAGAATTTCTTGACCTCGTGACCTACATTATTTGTGCATTTTTTCTCTATATTTTTAAGTAATTTGATTATATGTATAATGACTTGATACTACTGTCAATTTTCTGACCTCGGTCAGAAAAATGAGCTGTAGAAGCCTTTGTATAATGACTTAATACCATAGTCAATTTTCTGACCGAGGTCAGAAATGAGCTTTAGAAGCCTATATATAATAACTTGATATACTGTCACTTTTTTGACCGGGGTCAGAAATAAGGTTTAGAAGCCTTTGTATAATGACTTAGGCGTTCATTATAGTCATATATTCACACTAATACGATACAAATTGATCATCATTAGGTTTGTGTTATGATATAATCAGACGTGAGGCCATTCCCAGATTGGTGCCTCAGGCCTATAGGAGGTTTGACCTCTCCGGAGGGGGATCGCCCATGTTTCCCTACCCTTCCAAGAAGGGTGTTACGCACTAGCTAACTGGTCACAGCTAGGTTAGATGGGTTCAGGGTATACTTGCCTTAATACTCCTCGAATGGTCCAACGTCAATGATCGGGTCTCAACTGAGCTAATGCCGCGCGGGGCCTTATAGTAGCCTAAGTCCTTTTAAGCGATCAAGGACCTGATGCCAGGTAGAGCGCCGAGTAGATCGATACCGGGGTATTGGTCTGCTCGTGAGTGTTGTCAAGTTATAATCAAGTAAAGAGTCATAGTAATCTAAAAGGTAAACACAAGTAACAATATATAATTGAAGACGAAGAACTAAACTAGATATATGAATAAGTGTCCTTATATATCCCTAAGTTCTTCCTATATAGAATGGTAGATAGTAGAATAGTAGAATCGCCTTAGCGGATTCTACTGATCTACTTACTACCCTTCTACTACCTATATAATCACGTGATACTAAGCAGCGGTTGTCTAGTACGTAGAGCAACCTATATATCGGAAATCCTCTGCGGGGTGGATCCGCTTAGGGCAGATCATGCTCTTACTTAGTAAGCTTATACGTGATCTGCTGATAGATCTTGCTAGTTAGCTCTCGATGGCCTATTAGTATACCTAGTAGATCACCACTGATTGGTAACGGGTAGGTCCGTAATATCACCTCCCCTCTTCCTAGGAGTTTTGTCCCTAAGACTTATAAAGCTGCGGTATCCCCCCTCTAGTAGGTAATGGATTTCTTTTCCTTAAAATAATACTTCCTTATTATACCTAAACGAAAGGCTAACTCTATTTCTTTACTTACTCCTAAACTTCCCTCCGATTCTTCTAATACTTATTATCGTCAGGCGACTTATATTAAGGACAATAGTTTTACTACCTCTATTTCTTACAATTATTATAAATCGGTAGGTATTGCTTGTCTAATAGATCGTTCTTATTAATATTCGAAATATACCTCGTGCACTCGCGCGGGTCGCTTATATAAGCGTGACTTTTATACTAGTCGGGAATAGGATTTATTATATCGTACCGAAACCAAACTTTCTTCGGATCTTAAAACGAACGAAAGTGAACTCGATTTATTAGAACCTAAGTTAAGTAAACTATAAGCTTATCTCGTAGAGCTATATTAAAAATTGTTAAATAAACAAAAACAATACTAGGAAGCAATATCTAGGTAACGTCGGTTATATAAACAAATATCTTTCCTAAAACAAAAAGGTTTCAAAATATTAGAATATAATACTAAACTCCTTTAAATTCTCGATAAAAAGCAAACATCCCTAGAGTAGGCTTCTCCTTCTACTCTCGACCTCGAGTAGCTTACTGCTACTACCGATCATCCGAACTTTGATTAGATACTAGCGGAGATTGCTAATCTCCCTATTTCTTTTTAGGATGAATCCGGTTTCGTGCCCTCCTCGCTTTCTATTACGTAGGGGTCTTTTTCGCCTATTAGTAATACTATTGAATAAGCTAGTAGTAGCCCCTTAGGTTCTAGATAGGTTCCTATATATTTTCTAAGGTAGGATACCCTTTCTACTAAACTAAGAGTTATTACTAACTATTATACTATCTGTCTAATAGGATTTGTTCGACTTTATATTCGTCTTCGGTTTCCTCGATTTCTATATTAGTTACAATTTCGGCGTTATCTAGTGCTAGTTCGAGTAACGAGATATAAAATACTATATAGAGTTTTTATATACTTTCGGGTAGCTTTAAGCGATAATTCACTAGTCCCAATTTTTCCTTAATTTTAAACGGTCCTAGTCGTAGGTAGTCCAATTTATTGCTAGGTCGCTTGGTTTTAATATTACGTCGTAATAGGTAAACCTTTTCTCCCTCCTCGAGGTCAGGTCCCTCTCTATGGTAGTCGTTATAGTATTTCTTTATACGTAGATTGATAAAGTCAATATCTCTAGCTAGTTACGTATATAACTTTCTTCGTCCGCTAGCCTTTAGTCTCGCTAATTCTACTACGGCTGTCTTATTGATTGGTTCTCCGAATACTATTAGATTGTATCTATAATTCGTAAAGAATAGTATTTTATTAGTCGTAGAGTACGCTATATTATTATATACTAGCTATGCTATTAGTAGTAGTCCTACCTAGTTGTCTTACTAGTAATTTACGTAGTATCGTAGGTACTATTTTACTATCTAGTTTACTCTTTCTATCTAACCGTTAGTTTATAGGTAGTATATGTTATGGACCTGTCCGTCACCAATCAGTGGTGACCCACCAGGCACACCAATGGGCCATCAAGAGCCAACCAGGATATCTGTCAGCAGATCACGTGCAAGCTCACTGAGCAAGAGCATGATCCGCCCTGAGCGGATCCACCCCGCAGAGGATTTCCGTTACATAGGTTACTCTACGTACCAGACAACCGCTGCACGCAGAAGACGGTTGGTCAGCATCACGTGATCATGCAGGTAGTAGAAGGGTAGCAAGTAGATCGGTAGAATCCGCCAAGGCGATTCTACTATTCTACCATCTACCATTCTACACAGGAAGAACTCAGAGATATATAAGGACACTCATTCATGTATCTAGTTTAGTTCTTCGTCTTCAATTATACATTGTT